AACCTGATCTTGTCCTTTTTGATAAAGCCAATGAATATATTTATATCATTGAATTTTCTGTCCCTTTTGACACCAATGTGATTGGCAAGATTCAGGAAAAGCATGATAAATATGCGGACCTCGCCTTTGAAATGTCTCGCTTGCATCCCAAGTACACTGTTGCCAGACTCCCCATTGTTCTCGGTGCCCTTGGTTTGGTACCTCCTGATCTCTTGGTGCAGATCAGGAGAGTGCCCTGGTTCTCCACCGGGAGTACAGCCCTTCTGACACTCTGGGTAATGCAGAAGGCTGCAGTGTTGGGGAGCCTTCATATTCTCGGAAAAGTTCTTGGTGGGTTCGACTAGGCAGCGTTTCCTGGGAGAAGTCCCATTCACTGTCTGGGCTGCGTGTAGAGGGGGCAAGGGCCCTGAGCTGATGATGAGCCTTACCAGCCTGACTGTGCCAGGATCACCCGAACCCTCTCTGCTGCATACTATCTTTAATCTGTAAAACATAATAATAATAATAATAATAATAATAATAATAACTGTTACTGCACGATTCATTCCCGTCATTATATGACATGTTTCTAGGAACATAGTCTATCACCCGGATTCCAGGTGGCCAAAAGTCTCAATTACCAGAAACATGGTCCTCATAATCGTCAAGATCGAGATTTACTTGTACAGTGTAGGTATCTCGATAGTTGGAACGAACATTTTTCTTCATCAGTCTGACAAAGGTCACACGCACATTTTGATCATGAGTATATTCATGAATGAGTTCCTTTACTGATTCGAACGATTCCTCAGCACTTATGTTATACAGCACAAGACGTTTAGTTTTGACTCTGGGAACACCTTGAAAAAGCATGGTATCGTTTAGAGAGTGATCTGATAGGATGTGTAGTATTGTGTTTTACCTTATTATCACTCTTGTCCACGTTGTTGGTGTCCCGTTTCCGTGATAGGTGACGATCAACTTGGTTCCAAGATTTAGAGTTGTCTGTATGTCCTGGATCCATTGAGGGGAGGTCAGCGTCGTAGTTGTCGTTTACGACGCTTATACATACATACATACATACTAACATTTGTATACCGCCGATATCCAGCTCAGCTCAGCTGCTCAAAGGAGCTTTGTTTTTCCCTCGTTCACTGGATGTCAATCACAACGGCACATCGTATTGTCAATCTCAACTCCCTGGGGAGCATACAACTCTTGCAGCCACTAGGCGCACCGAGTTATTGTGGCATTCCCATCCTTACGAGGTACCCATTCACAGCTGGGTGGACTGGGACACATAGTCACAGTACTTTGTCCAAGTTCACTGCATGTTGCTTATGGTCTTCTTGTTGTCCAGTAATGGATGCACTGTTGTCGTTGATCTGACTGGATATGACTGGAATATGACGGGGTCCAGGATTGGACGTATTAGTTTTGTCTTTCTCCAGTTGCGATGTTTGCTCCACCGCTGTTTCAGGTTGTTCTGTTGTTGCAGGTGTCGTTGCTGTCGAGTCTGTGTTCGAGGTAGATTCACTGTTAAGAGATCTGCCTTTTGCTTTCTCATTACAGTTCTTTATTTGACTAGAGAGGCTTGTAAATTTAGCATCATTTGTCTTTAATTTGGCATGGACAGAATAATTTGTATTTAATAGTTCATTTTCTAAATGTAGAATGTGATCCCGATATGATTTATGTTCTTGGCTATACAGTTTCAGTTCCGATCTCAGTGCTGACCTTCTGTCTTCAGAGTCACTGAGCTCAGATTGTAGGTCTGATATAGATTTATCCTTTTCCTGGATAGTCTCATTTAATCTCTTCATGTGATCAGAAAATCTACTTTCCATACATTGTAGCCTTTCCTCCAACTTGCTTTGTCCGTGAGGAAACAATCTGTTTCAACTGTGCAATGTGGCTAAGTATGGAACACGTAGAGTCGTTTGTCTCACCTGAAGCTCGTTCAGTGGGAGTAGTCGATGATGAAGATGTGCTATTGACCTTGATTGGTGTATTGACGTTGGTGACGTTGTTGGCTGTTGATGGCGTACCTGGTGTCGACATAGATGTCGTACACTTGCTCTGCTGAGCACCTTAGTTTGCAGGACATGTGCAGGAATAGTACCTTCTATGTCATGATATAGGTAGTACACATCTTGAGCGCACTTGTATATGGCCGGCGCTGTTGTTGCCTGAGTATTTTTTCTTCTCACAAGTAGACTAGCTGGGAAGTTTACACACGTCTGTTTGGCGTGGTCATACATGCTCTCTCTTACATTATTTATTTCTTTTATGTTGTGGTTGTATATGCCTTGAATGCTGTCAATAAAGCTTGTCTTGTCTTTAGATCCAAGTTATTTCCTCTGATAAACGCCTCTGGTGCTTATTTTTTCAGCGGACCTCCAGAGTCGGCGCTTATTAAAAAACCCTGTATTTTTAAAAGCGGGGATGAGTACATGAAGTTATGATTTAAGGGACCATTCCTTAATCTATTTATTTTTAGACCAAGGGAGAATACATTTGCGAAAAAATGCAAAGGTCTATACCCGGCGCTTATTTCTGAAAGCACTGCTTTATCCCCGGCGGTTATTAGAGACCCAGCGCTTAATAGAGGAAATCCGGCAGATTGACTTGTCAATCTCATCACATGGCTGGGTGGTGTATATGTCTTCATTGTCCATGTCATCAGCCTCAGCTATTGTTTCACAGTCATACATTCTTCCTTTGCCACAAAAGACTCTCCTGCTAACAATCATCGGACGTTGTTTCTGCCGTGCGATGACTCTCTGTGCTCAATTCACTTTTACTGACAGACGTTTTCGCATCCGTGAATCCCTCTTTTATACACCAGTTCATACTACTTCACTGCATAAAATCAGGTTTCCGTCCCCATGGTTTTCAGGCATAGGCGCCCGACTCTGATATATTTATAAGCATGACCTATATATATAACATATATACGTGTAAATGCCTTGCACAACGTGATCAATATCGCCAATGTGTATACTTCATATTAGTGATATTTTTGCCACAATTAAGTCTGCACAAACAAACACAAAGCTAATCATCTTCTCATGTTTATATACAGTAAGAATACATGTACAGATCAACATTGGTTCAGTCTGGAAACATTGGTTCATACCATACGTTTAGACAGCCTCAGCCACAGGGTAGTTGCTAAGGTCCACACAATGGTTGCTATGGCCACAGGGTATCAAGTCACAAAGTATTAATCGGTTCTCAAACACATTTTTCCAAAACTTCAGACGGGATGTCTTTTAGAATATTTTTTCAAACAAATTATTCAAGCCATGTTTATTTTACGTACTTAAGTACAAATTGATGTGTGGAAGGTTATGTTGAGAGAACGCATGAAAACGCATATGCTTTTACCAGAAATAGATGACTTGTCATGAGATGTTTGAAGATATACTTCTGTCAAATATTGTTATACAAAAGATGCACCTCAGAATAAAGATCATCTCATGAAAGTTAGTCCAAACCTGTAGTGAAATTCAGAGAGAACTTTGTTTCCTTTTAATGCGAATTTTAGAAAGAATAATGACGTACAAAAGTATGAGACAGCATGCAACATGATGATATATAAACAATGTTCTACATTCAAAATGACAATATCATGCACACAGTACGCGCAGTGTAACTGTGGTACTTAGTAGTGAGTGAGTGAGTATGGCCTTACACCACCTTTAGCAATGTTCCAGCAATATCACAGTGGGGGACACCTGAAATGGGCTTCACACATTGTACCCATTTTGGGAATCAAACAAGAGTGGACGTTTGAACCATTTGGCTACCCCACCATCCATCGGTATGGTAATGTAGAAGGTTGATTTGGAAACATTCTATTGACAAGAACAAACATTTCTCCCTCCGACACACTGCTAAAGCCTGGCCTTTGCCATGTTGCACCATGAATTTACTTGTTCCTCAGCTCGGCATGTGTTTGATCACTTGTATCTGAAGTTCTACTTTGTTTGTAGAACACCCAGAAGAGCACTTCAGTCCTGAATATCAAATGGGAATCACCATTTTCAAAATTGAGATTTAATCTCTTGAGAAGCTTTCCAGACACACTGCATACCTGAGAAATCCCCACATAAAACTCTCATACAACATATCATAGAAAAATATATCTCCAGGACTCCAGAATGTAACACTCACCGAAATCAGATCGTTCACTGCCTTACCATACTGATCTGAAAATCTGGTAACATTTTCATGGAAGGTTACATCTAATGAACTCGGCATCAGTCAAGGGTCTTGTGCTAATAGTTATCTGCCTCTGTTCATGATACATTTCTTTCTCACCCTAATTTGAAAATGTTGGTATCAACAGACAAACCTGACACATAGCAGATATGCCTTCAACAGAATTCCAGTTTCAGAGTAGTCACCGTGCTGTTCAGAAACATCAAGCTGTCCAAAATATCCACAAAATAAATGGTGCTGCCTTAATTATTGACATTGGGAACTGGTTGTTTCTTAACTTGGTTGAGACACAAAACCAGATATGTTGGTCTGAATTCTGCTCTTACTTATACCAAGGATTCGGAAATGTTTACACTAATTAGAAAGTTCTATCTTCAAGGAGTGAGCGAGCGAGTGAATATGCTTTTACGCCACGTTTTGGAATATTCTAGCAATACCACGGCAGGGACACAAGAAATTGAACCCCACTTCGGTGTGATGAGCCAATACTGTCATCTTTCCCACCACCCTCTTCAAGGAGTAAAAGATCTGATTACAATGAGACTTTAGAACACATTACATCAGATAATTTAACAAACTATGTACATCAAGATCAACTGATCTCTCCATCACACAGGCACTGCAGACTAGTGACCATTCTCACAGCTGCCTACTATACTTATTAACAAATTGCAGTATTGTTATATTAAAGGCTTTCTCCAGATTGTGACTAAAACCCGAAACAATCCATCACAAAGTGGAGCAAGCTGCTACATATGTTTTGAACCATATTTTAGTATAGCATGGTATGTATATTTGGGGACAGTTCTATATCACACTGAAAGGTTCACTAAGCTTTTAGCAGTATTTCAGCAATATTGCAGCAGGGGATATCAGGAAATAAGCTTGAGTCGGCCCTTCGTTGTAATCATCAAATCTTTCTTTCTTTCCACTCATTCTTTCCATCTCTCTGCTACCATCAATGTGGTGAAAGTAATGAGCACCCAGATCTTTATTGACAACTGGGTCCCAACTGCCGTCCAGATCCTGAGGGCTGGAACCTAACTGAGGGCTGGATCCTAACTGTGGGCCGGATCCTACCTGCCATCCAGATCTTGAGGACTGGATCCTAGTTGATGTTTGGATCCTAATTGGGATAGACCTACTCATAGACTACCCACTCTGATTGCGCTGGATACTTTTTCCGTAACTGCTTAAAATTCTTATCACCCAATATCTTCAGGAAGCATTTCACAAACATGAACTTGAAAATGTATTTAAGGTACAAAGCAGACCAATGCAAATCAGATGTAAGGCAGGACTAAATTTCTAAAATAATACTCTTCCTAATATTACCAGTAATTGACTTAACCAAAAACAGCACATGGTGAGTCCCATAGTACCTTCATCTCAACTTGTATATAATGGACACGGTGAGTCCCATAGTACCTTCATCTTAACTTGTATATAATGAACATGGTGAAATATTTAACCAGACCAATGTAACAATGGTAAAATTCATTAAAGAGGACAGTGATCAATGAAGCATTACATAAAAGCACTCTGTGATGAGGGCACCGATAATCAGAATTTCAAGACCAATACCAGTAACTATGGTTACAGTATATATAATATATTCAAACACACTCTACATTAAATGTGTTGGTCAATCAATAATCCAAAATATGGATTTGCAAGAAGTAAAATGGATCTAACAGTATATACCTTGGACAGGTCAAACTGGATATTGAACCCATGTTGTGAATTGAACCTGGCTAGTTGCAGTACAAATGAATGCTCTAGTCAATAGAACAGTCCTTTATAATATGTAAGCTATATCACCATGTCTCAATTCATCTTGGAGTATGTGGGTTGGGTTTAACCCTGTTTCAAAAAGTATTCCTGTTACACATGGGTTTGTCAGTTTGATGTCGTAGGAAAGCCCAAGTCATGCTGATCTCAGGAGTTCACCGCTTTGGTGAGACCCTGGACCACAATAATGGTGGTGACAAACCTCGTAACATAACTGGGATTCAAACTCATGATCACACAACCATCTGGCATCCTTCTTTTCGCTATTTTTCTTTAAATATGAGTGAGTCTAAGGTTTTATGCCACTATAAGTAACATTCCAGCAACATCGTGTCCGTGGACACCAGAGATGGGCTTCATACGTTGTATCCATGTGGGGAACCCAACCTCAGTCCTTGGTGTGAAAATCCATGGTTCAACCACTTGGCTACCTTACCAGTACCACCCCCTTAACATATGTAAACTTAGCTATATAATTATGTGCAACTTGCTTGATACTAGCATCTGTAATGGTATATTGAAAAAACTCCACACTGACCATGCTGAACGAATGAAGGAGTTGAAATTCATTAGTCAACCCAGTTTATGTTTCGACAGTTTCATAATGCCTCTCTAAAATATTCAACTTTTTTAGGACAACCACAACAGATATTAAAAATATTTTTGAGGTTTATAACATATTCCATATCCTATTGCTACTTTAAACTGTACAGTAAGGTACGATTTATTCATCTTATCCCTTCATGAATTGAAATCATTAACTGACTTAGATGATGCATATCATCACATCCAAATTGTGTGGATAAATGCTCATGGACTGTCTGGTCCAGACTCAACTATTTACAGACTGCCATCATATACCTGGAAGATGGCTAAGAGCTGGGTTAAACAACAAAGAAAACAATTTTACTAAGGACCCTTTTGGTCCTGTCAATCAAAGTAAGTAATGTAAGTGACATGGTTGTGATGTCCACATGGTCAAATAATTTATTTTGTTATTGTTTCCGGAATATAATAAATAACACCTCAACTACTGACTATATTGTATTGGTGAACAGATATTCATATTCATTAGTCTTTATCTGATATACGTATTATAACTGCCTAACAGTTGATACGGTGCAGCCCTACTCTACAGGGTCCCAATCCACAAAGTGTTTGTAACAATAACGTTACTCTGTGCTATATCATTGGCTTATGAATAATGTAATGCTACGATTGAGTTTAGTTTTACACTGCTTTTAGCAATATTCCAGCAATATCACGGCATAGGACACCAGAAATGGGCTTCACACATTGTACCTATGTGGAGAAATGAACCCGGGTCTTCGGCGTGACGAGTGAATGCTTAAACTACTAGCTTACCCCACCGCCCTGTAATGCTAAGAATGCTTTGTGGATAGGGCCGCAAGTACCCCTACACCCGTTCTCACAGGGGTGGAAATAACTTTAAAATTGCAAGTGTACTCCGGTAACAGTGGCACATGTAAAATCACTTGCCCTGATAATTTTTCCACTATATCGACCATTTTCTTGTTGATTTTTTAAATAAACAACATAATTAACATTGGAATATCAACTGGACACCGGTACAGTGTGATATACAAATTTGCTTGCCCGACAGAAAAAAACACTGGACTTGGGCGTTGGGCAATGGGTTATTTCCACCCGTCTCATTATTAAACAAAGCACCAGGAGTGACACATTGTAACCTCTTGAATACATCTCTCATCCATACCCGCAGTCAATGAACACATAAAAGTCACATTCGAGATAAAATCAAACCACGAGGCACAGTTTGAGTTCATCTACTGTACTCTGTACAGCAAACACGAGATCACAGACTTTGAGAATGGCTACTCCATTCTAAATCTAAAACACAATTGCACTGTTCAGTCATAAAACATGGAGACGAAGACCCACATTCAACAGTCAATCTGTAAGCTGCACTGTGATTGGATGATGTTAGCTGCATAGCGATTGGCTGGCTCTGTCTGCAGGGCTGAGCTGCCTCCATTCATTTGTTATGGCACATGACGGATAGAGTAACAAAAGATGCTGAAATGAAACAAAAGCACAGTTACAGAGTGCACTTTATACAGGGATAAGAATGGCTTGGAGTGAAAAAAAACCCAGAGGAAAATGAGCCTGGGATCTTAGGGGCTGTAGGTTTAGACGATTCACAAGAATCAGCCCAGCACGATCAAATGTGCGGTATTCCGTGGTATCTGGCCCCAAACCTTCAACAAGATTAATGAAAAGTCCCAATTTGAATTAAAAAGTTCCTAGTTCATTATTTTGACTACAATATACAGCGAAAAAAAACAGTTTGTTATATCCGTCCATTCGGTGTCCTCCCATTACGCAGACAGCCAGTTCGCAGACACCTTAAAACAACAACATTTACGGTTCAGTGAACAGATTATCAACTACCTGTTACTACCTGCAATTATAATGGAATAGTCCAAATAAAAACACAGGAACAAACTGAAGCTATATTATTTATTTTGAAAGATGGATGAAAAGACAGTAATTTGAATTATTATTGCTACAATATAAAACAGTTTATTTATTAACAGGTTATTTATTTTCATAAACATTTTGGTTTAACCTTCTAGTCTAACGGGAGTCGGCATCATCATATTGAAAACATTAGCTTAGCTATTAGAAATTGCGACACTGTTGTATCATATAAATCAAATACAGACAAATGTGATAAACACAATCAAACCTCTCAGTGACATACCTGTTTTTATATTTGAGAGTAATTGATAGTAAAATCAATTTTGAGAAGAGAAATCATTTAATCACAACAAGGTTCTATTTACCCACAATCAAACTTCTCAGTGACGAACCTGTTTCAGGCTCACCCTGCTCTACTCACTACACAGTGGACTGTTCCATTTTACCCATAGGTGTTACCCTAATTAACCTTCTAATTCAGTGTCTGATAATTGGGTGTCTGTCAAATGGGAGATAACCGTCCATTTGTAATAAGAAAGTTTGCTATAAATGGCATGTAGTGTAGTTTTTAACAGAAGATAACTCCTGCATTGTAGACACATTTCAACCTGATTTTATATGGTTCATAACCTTTATGTAAATGTGTCTCACATAAGAGTTCGAAATTAAGAGAGTTTGTTAAAGTTCGTTCCTGTAAGTATTTGAACCTGGGACTTCCAGAATACTTAACTCTTATTGTTAGGCAAATGACAATGACCTCTTGAATTGCAGGCTTCATTCTGATCACTGCTTCGAGGTAAAATGACACATGAACAGTCATGCCTCAAGCCTGAATATGCCATTCAATTTAACCTCCTTTTAAGGCCAAAAAAAAATATATGTCCGTTTCCTATTACATGCTAGGTAGGTGGGTTGGTTTTATCTTCTTTTTTTTTTAGGGGGGCACCTGAGAATGTCTTCAAGGATACCATATCATGATGTGACAATGTCTGGTGATGAAACATTGATAGATTTCTATATCAGATCATTATTTATGTTATTTATTTGCAAGTTTTGTCAGTGAGAGCCCATTATGCCAATTCAATGCAATCCATATTAGCCCTAAGTACACTGAAAAACATGAAAATATCATACTCAATTTGGATGAAAATGAAGAGTTGAAATGCACTCCAGTCATGATTTTGACTTGGTTAAAAAAGGATTTAGGGTCGGGTGGGTTAGGATAGGGTCGGTCGGGTTACCGGAAACGGACATATTTTTTTTTTTTCCTAAATAAGTTAGTGAGTGGTTTATCAATGCTTCTAACAGTATTCCAGGTATTTAACATAACATCAGCTTAACATAGGTTGAAAGCATGAAGTCATGCAGGTCTCTGGTGTGTATCACCTGACTTGATCCATCACCGAAGGTTGGTGGGAAGCCCAAGGGAGACAACTCTGCACAGCGTATGCAGTGGTTTGGTTTGGTTTGTTGTTTTACCCAACACTCAGCAATATTCCAGCTATATGGCAGTGGTCTGTAAATAATCAGGTCCGGACCAGACAATACAGTGATCAACAGCATAAGCACCAATCTACACAAATGTGATACAACGACATGTGTCTACTAAGTCAGCAAGCCTGACCATCCTGTTAGATGCCTCTTACCACAAGCATGGGTTACTGTTGACCAATTCTAACCCGGATCTTCACGGGTGCAGTGACTTAGACAATTAGGCTACCAATGTGTGGACTCTAAGATAAGCATGAGGAATGAGACTTAGGATATTATACCATGTGTATAGTATTCCCAGGAATTATTGAGAAAGTTGTTTCGGCAAATGTCTAATACATGCATATAAACTATAGAGGTTTAACTTATTGAGATATGATTCTCTTACAGTCTAAGTGTCTTTTCAGTACACTGTGAGACCAATACACGACTGAATGTGCCTTGGTACACTACTGATCAAAGTTCGTAGGAAATCGTGTGACAGTGTCTCCAATATTCGACCACTGCTTCCTTCATATCCTCAATATAGAAAAATCAATATCAGTAAGTCCTTTTTGGTTTATTCTGTCCTTCATTAGTCCCCACACATTCTCAATAGGGTTAAGATCAGGGCTGTAGCTGGGCCAGTCTACGACTTGAACATTGTCGTCCAACAACCACCGTTTTGTGTAGCCCACAGTGTGTTTTGGGTCGTTATCATGCTGGAAAATCCAATTATCTTCATACAGTGTTCGGGCAGTTGGAAGGAGGTGATCATTTAAGATGTCAACATATCGTTACTTGGTCAAATTTCCAGTGGAAATACACAACGGCATCATTCCACGTGATGATATCCCACTCACTTATTGAGTAAAACATTATCCCAGTCTTGGTTTTCACGAGCCCTGCACCACTTTAAACGTCTTTCTTTTGGGGCATCTTTCATCAATGGGAATTCTGTGCGTTTTCACCCAGTTAAGCCTTTGTAATTCTTGCCTTCCATTACATACCTTAGGACTTCCTCTATTAATCATCTCATTTCTGATATTCTCAAGCTTTTCAATTTTCCACTGCTCACAATCTGACCAAAACGCCGGCGATCCATAGTACTGAACCTCCTTGGCCTCCCTACCCCTGTCTTATGCTCAATCCAAATTCTTGACAATATTCTTCAAAGTTCTGTATACTGTAGACAGAGGAATGTAATGTCTACCTGCTAACTCTTTTGCATTAGTCACACCCCTTCAACATCATGTAGAACCAGCGTTTTCTCTTCTGCTGTCAAATCTGCCATGTCAACAAAGGAAGCTGTCTGCTACACCAGGGGAGGTAACTCTCGAATCATTCTTAAGCCTACAAGAGTTGCCTCCCATATTGAGTACCTTATTACATAATGTAACACCTATTATAAAATCATCAGTATTAGGAAACACAAATTGTCTCAATAATTTCTGGGAAAACTGTAAACGTGTGTTGTTGAAAATGTTTTCACAGGTCACAGAAAGAAAACTCACCATAAATAAAACTCTATTTGCTTCTATTCTTGCCTTTCCCTTTTCCTTTGGAAGTGCCCCTCTCTGCGAGCAGTGGGTGGGACATGGGTCGGGTTGGTATCAAGGGGGCTTCGATTCTAAATGTCTTGCAGATGTCCTGGAAGGAATGGGACATAGCTGTCAGAGTGAGTGAGTGAGTGAGTGAGTGTGTGTGTGTGAGTGAGTGAGTGAGTGAAATGTCACTACAGACAATATGTATGTCAGCTGAGTAAAATGATCAGGGATTCTTTGAACATTTAGAAGTGATACACAATACAAATGCCTTTATCAATGATGTAGGTATTTTTCCCTTTATCATGGCACTCAAAATCCTGTGATAAAGAGTGTACAATGTGAACCCCTCTCTACCAATGTGTACTTTTTGTTTGGGAAAAGAAATTAATAAAATTAAGAATTAAATCATAGACATCCATTTGGTTTTTCCCGTTTGTTTCCATTCAAGCATTTTACATTTGTTACCATGGTTACCGAGACCAAAATCAGATAACATGCTTCAGCTGCTCCTCACTCTCCATCTTATGACTGCGATGGTGGGAATGTGTAGAACTTACCCTGAAGTTCTGTGGTGTCATTGATATGACCACTTGCTGTCTCCTGGGACTGGCCCCAGACTGGACATCACCTTCCCCAACGGGCTCTGTCAACACAACACACAGGCTTAAACTTAAACCATGGCTCCTTCGTCCTTGACATGACCAACTGAATTGTCATTTATACACCACTTGGCAATGATGGAACTTCCTTTTCTCCTTATCATTTATCAAATTATGATAGAACAAGTTTAAGAAAAACATAATTCAGAGGAATTTGAACAATGTCTGCATTGAGGGCAAATGAAAGATGCATGTGTAACATGGAAGATTGAGTGAGTAAGTTTAGTTTTATGCCACACTCAGCAGTATATTCCAGCTATATGACTGCAGTCTGTAAATAATCGAGTCTAGACCAGACAACCTAGTGATCAACAGCATGAGCATCGATCTAAGCAATTGGGAACCGATGACATGTGTCAACCAAGTCAGCGAACCTGACCACCCGATCCCGTTAGTTGCCTCTTACACAAGCATGGGTTACTGAAGATCAATTCTAACCTGGATCTTCATGGGTGTAACATGGGGAAATTTTTATGAACTTAAAACTAAATATTTACTGACATCAGGACTAATCACTGCCATTTATGATCTGCAAAACATTTGTTTATGCAGTATGTTTTTTATTCATCTTTCTTTATGTTTTGTGAAATGCATGATGTGGTTGGTCTTCCATCAACGAAATGAACTGATGCAATCACAATTATCAGAGGTACAGATAAGCTGCGTATCTGCGTAAATTACGCCAATATTTACGTGAAAACTCAATTTCTATTCACTCTATTGCGTACAAGTATGCTTGAATTTTTGTAAATACTCAATAAATGTCATATTACATGCGTACACACAAAAATGTCAAATCTTAGCTTGCGTACCAGTGGATAGATAATATAACTGAAGTATACTGAGACGTTCTATTTCAGGACATGAACTTGACAACTTGCAGTCTTTCTTATCGTTTCTCTTTACAGATCAAATATAAATAACAAACATTAACATTTAAACTTTACTATATTTTCTAATTTAATGGAAAATGGCAAAATACCCAATTGAGTTTGAGTGAGGTGAGTACAATTTATTTGGTAACTCAAAGAAAAATTAGGATACCCAATTGAGATGAACATAACTCAATGACCCAAAATGTTATCTGTAGCTCTGAATTATCCTGACCAAGGCACATAAAATATATATAGGATTAGCACTAGATCATGGATATTCCCTTGTCTTTATGAGCATCACACAAGTATATGTTTTAAATCATACTCACGTATCACAGGCAGCTTATCATCATCAAGAAAGATCTCAGCGTAACCGTCCTGTTGACAGACAAAATGTAATACTGACTGACTGAGTTTGGGGTTACGCCGCTTTTAGCAATATTCCAGCAACATCACGGCGGGGGACGCCAGAAATGGGCTTCACACATTGTACCCATGTGGGGATTCGAACCCGGGTTTTCAGCGTGACGAGCCAACGCTTTAACCACTAGGCTACCCCACCGCCCCCAAATGTAATAACCACGACTGACATCCACCAACGACAACACCATGCTTGGAGCTAATGAGCACAATAATTAGTTGAGTGAGTGAGTGAGTGAGTGAGTTTAGTTTTACGCCGCACTCAGCAATATTACAGCTATATGACGACGGTCTGTAAATAATCGAGTCTGCACCAGACAATCCAGTGATCACTAGCATGAGCATCGATCTGCACAATTGGTAACCGATGACACGTGTCAACCAAGTCAGCGAGTCTGACCACCCAATCCCGTTAGTCACCTCTTACGACAAGCATGGTCACCTTTTGACAAGCATGTGTTGCTGAAGACCTATTCTAGTCAATAATTAGTTGAATAACCGGAATAACCGGAACATGCTGAGCAGAAATGCTCAAGGTATATGTCATGACAATGTACAGTATTTCAGTTCAATGGGTAAAGAACTGTTTTAAAGGTTTACGAACCCAATCAACATATGTATGACATATGTAAAACACCATCCCTCTATTGATTTTCAAAAAAAACCTCTTCTCATCATCCAGTGAAGTCCAACAGAGAAAATCTCGACCATATTTCACGCTATCATGGATAACAATGTAATTTTCTGACTAAAATTAATATTTTATACTTATCCTGACTCATGCTAAATGCTCGTCTCCTTCTTCTTGCGAATGATAGTGGAACACTTGAAATCCTTTGGAGTTCCCTTCTAAAAAGCGGACGTAAAATCATCACTCACCCACGAGTAGCCTCCCTTACCTCCTTTGGCGCCCTTTTTGTCACATGACCAGCCATGTCTTGTCACTCTCTCCTTCTTTGCCCTTGAGGACGGTTGTGAGAGCACCTGGGTCCCTATACGACACATATCCTTTTCTATTTTGGACATTTACATCAAAATTAGAAGGGAACTTCAAGGGATTTCAAGTGTTTCACTATCATTCGCAAGAAGAAGGAGACAAGCATTTAGCATGAGTCAGGATAAGGAAAAATAAACATACTCACTCGGACTAGGAAGGATGTGTAGAACATATTTTCCACTGTTTGACCAAACGACTCTGGGTTGACGACAAACTCAAAGTAACACAGTGGGTTATCTGTAAAAGCAGACACTACTGTACAGACTCGAGTGAACACAGATTGAGATTGGGATGAGTTAACTATCCATCATCAACAGGAAGATTCAAGATAACAGTACTAACAAGTCATCACAATACAAACGTGATGTTGCAGTCTGGGAATAGGCTGTCAAAAAGAGGTTTCAATCACAGTCTGTGGCCTGGCAAATTGTCTTAAGTCAAAAACACACAATGTTTTAGTTTAATCAATTCAGCACGGTCACATGTAAGCTGTGTGAGGAAGAATGATTTTAAGGTGCTTCTAGTATTATTCCAGCAATATTGTGGCTGGGGAAACCAGAAATGCTAAACTACTGTCCCACAAATGTAAGGGTAAAAATCTACAGAAAAAATAGCAGATAGACCAAAACTGAAGTGAAGGTCCAACATTTCAGGAACCGACACCACAGCCAACTGTCCTCCAGTCGTAAAGACTATCAGTGGAATTTTTAATATCTAATTTTTCTCAACCTACATGCAAACACAGGATTTAGGTGTCATGGACATTTTGATCAAACTGTGACATGACAACTGGTCTTTATTGACAAGTCGCTGATTACTGTATCATACTCACTGTTTTGTAAGTCATATTGCTGTATCAATAAGTTGTGGATTTTCTCCACCTCTGCTGTAGTTGCTTCGTTCTTGTCAGAATCACTGAAGTCTTGTAACTGAAAACACACAAAAGGTAGGGTGTAACGATACAGTGAGGGTGTGATATGATACGTATCCTGATAACATGGGTACAATACAGTTTGTATTGTGATACACTACTTTCGTTTTGTTCATATTCTCTCTCATATATCAAATTTTAGAGATAGATGCTAGTTTTAATTCTTGTTTCTGTGATATTCTAGTCGTTTTTACTGTCGACAGGTTTTTACAATTTAACTGTATTTATCATGAATATATATATAACTCTTTTTAATCCCGATATGGCTGAAATACTGCCGATGTGACTGTACACTTTAACTCACTCACTCACTACTTTGGTTACTTAGTTTGATAAAACACTGTATGCAGTTTAGTTAGACCTCTGTATACCATCTCATATCGAGAAATCTCAAATAAGTGATAAGTATGATGGGAAAATGGATGCATAAAAATCCAAGTTTTAACCAAGAAGAAAGGGAAGTAACTCTGTACAGCACAAATCACAGCTGGGAAAGCAATGTCAGTTGAAACATTATTCAAATACTTTTATTGTCATGCTGTACCTTTTCAACATCCTATGTTGCTGAAGTTAAGAAGGCAACAAGTAAATGTAAAGGACTTTAGCTGATCGATACAGCACACGAAACTGATGAGCACTTCAATGCCATGATAATACTCACACTGGATAATTCACAGTAATCACACTAAATTGAATTGCCCTGAGTATTGTTTTGAAAACAAGGGAAGTGATTTACCTGTCTGGGTATTGTTGCTTGACCAACGATATCATCTTTTTCTTTGACCTTTCTTCGACCATCTTTTGTTTTAGGGTGGATCTCTCCCGGTTCAAATGATCCGTGCCTAAAAATAGAACAGAAATATTATTATCATTTGTTGTAACTGTGGTAGGGAATGGTTTCCAGTGCAAAAGTGAGTTTGATTTTAGGCTGCTTTTGGCAATATTGAAGCAATATCGCGTCAGGGGACACCAGAAATGGGCTTCACAAATTGTACCCACGTGGGGAATCGAACCCAGGTTTTCAGCGTGAACACTTTAACCAGTAGGCTACCCCACCGCCCCTCCAGTTCAAAAGTATGTTACATTAGACCACTTTCTAAAAGGCATAGTGTATTCAGAAACCATGGTATCGCTATGTGGAGTTTTTTCCCAAACATTGGGAATACTGTAATCGTATATATTTTCGTGGGGTGCAATTTTCGCGGAGAGTTCACAAAAGGCCTGTTCACGCAGTTGTTTTTTCGCGCATTTCAAACACCTGAGTGATGGTATCCATCACAACGTTTTCACAACCGACAGACATGCAATGATCAAAGCTAGCTGCCATAATTGAATCGCGTTTGTTGTCAACATGTGATCGTCCAGCTACACTAATTATGACTTTTGGCGAAACAAAATATGTATACGTATCCATTTACTGTCAACTACACTTCATTTCGAGATGTGAGTAGACGCAGTATGTAAGTGATTGCTGTGAAATAAGTACATTGTGTTGAGGAATTACCGTAGGCTTAACATCTGTGGACTTCTTGACATTGTTTGATCTCGTAATTTGTAAACATGGACCGGGAATAATTGCTTTGATGTTGTTATCTGAGAGAATAAACAAATTGCATGTTGTTCCTACTTGAGTATTTGCTTTGATGTTGTTATCTGAGAGAATAAACAAATTGCATGTTGTTCCTACTTGAGTATTTGCTTTGATGTTGTTATTGGTCCAACAATCTTTTTGAGTATTTGCATGACTTCACCATGAATATTTCGCTTGAAAATTATTGGCTTAATAATCTTTTTCGCTAAAAGCGTGAAAATTAATCCCAAGCGAAAATAACTACGATTACAGTAGATGAAGTGAAGCCACAACCAGACTCTTCAGTTACAAACATATATACCATAGGCTTCCAGTACAATGGGTAAAGCTAAAACTGACATGTCATGGATAATAAAAAAAATATCAACAAGCATTTATCATCCCAAACTGTTTTCCACAGCAGATATTGCTTGTGTGAGATCCAAGAAGATATGGTTTTGACAGTAGATTTTATGCAATGCCCTGACAATGCTATGACGTCAAAAACCTGATGATGTCACAATGCTATGACATTGCTGCACTGCAAGTCTAATGGCAGTACATGGTCAGAGATGTCAATTTTTCATCGAAAAGGGGCGGTGGGGTAGCCTAGTGGTTAAAGCGTTGGCTCGTCACGCCGAAGACCCGGTTCGAATCCCCACATGGGTACAGTGTGAAGCCCATTTCTGGTGTCCCCAGCCGTGATGTTGCTGGAATATTGCTAAAAGCGGCGTAAAACCAAACTCAGTCAGTCATCGAAAACTAATGAAGAGTACTTTGTGATGTGAAATAGAATGTCACCCTCATGTCTTCTGATATCAAATATATCAACATTTGTTGATAACAGTAAGAATACCCTCAGCAAACCTTGGAAATTTGTAACTTTATCAACTCGTGGTGATATATTTGATATCAAAAGACACTCAGTTGAGATTCTCTATATATCACTATGATTACCACTGTTTCTTTGAAAATAACTGTCCATACATGTGATGAATCAAGCATATACGTGTGGATGACACATCAAATTCAAATTGTCCAGTGAGTTGGTTGGGCTGGGTTGTTGCTATATTCATAAATTAATTCAGCAGGATAAAGTTTAATGCCACACTCGGTAATATTCAAGTTCTATGACGGTATCTGTAAATAATCGAATCACTGACATATAGCTGGAATATTGCTGAATGCGGCGTAAAACTAAACTCACTCACTCACACTTGACAATTCAGTGATCAACAGTATGAGCATCGATTGATGCAAATGGGATACAATGACATATTTGGTTGTTGTTTTACGCTGCACTCAGCAATATTCCAGCTATATGGCAGCGGTCTGTAAATAATCGAGTCTGGAACAGACAATCCAGTGATCAAAAGCATGAGCACCAATCTATGTCATTGTGATACCACGACACGTCTACCAAGCCAGTTCGTCGCCTCTTGTGACAAGAATAGGTTGCTGAAGACAAATTGTAACCTTCATGGGTCTGTTGTCCAGAAGCAGTAGTACCTACATAAAATGGAAAGGTGGAACTCTTCTGAAGCAAGGCTGGACTGCCTGTCCGAGTCGGTCCCAGCCATTGTGGGATATCCTCTGTCCATCCTGCAACTGCTGACCACTCACGAATGTTATCTGAATTATAGAAGCAAACAACTACATATAACCATGGCAACAGCAAGGTTGATGTCTGTATCAATGAAAGTACTGACTCTAATCTCTTTCTAGATAAAACACAATTAAGGAATCACACTAAGACACCACTTCATTCATACTTTAAATATGTTAAAAGTTATTTCAACCAAGTTTCTGAAAAAAGAGCCTATTTCGATAAGAAAAACAAAGCAAAAACCGAAAGGACTTGTATGCAGAGTCTGTCAATTTCATGGTTAACAGTTATATACAACTCGTACCAATTGAGTTGCTGACATGTCCCTGCTCAGCTGTAATTTCTACACATTAAATTCTCTGCCAACCAGCAGGGCTACGCAACCACACTTTGGAATGAGAATCTGTTCCAGGGTCCTACGTAACGCAGAAATGTGCATCCAGTATGTGCAAATATACCGAATGGATGCAATATGCAATATTCCCTGTACCAAATTCTTGACATGACAAGAAAACAAAGGTCCATAATTCAAGTAACTATTAATGTTACAGTACAGTAATCTTTTCGTAAGAGGCGGGTGGTGAGGCTCACTGACTTGGTTGACACGTGTCATTGTAATTGTGTAAATCGATGCTGATCACTGGATATTTCCAGCAAGGATCCTTGAAGGGGGGGGGGGCGCCTCTAGACTCCCGTTCAGGGTGCAACCCTGCAATTCTTGTCTCCTTCTGCCTTAACCACTGTCACCTGCTTGCTTGCAACTTCCCAATATTTTAATCCCACTTGTGTAGTGCGATGTTCATGCTGTTGATCACCAGATTGTCTGGTCCAGACTTGATTATATATATTATCTGCCATATAGCTGGAATATTGCAGAGTGTGGCGTTAAACACCAACCCAAACCAACCCTCTAGAAACAGCTTTTAAATAAGAGATGTCAACCAACCAACCAGCCAACCCCAACCAAAAAGTTACCAACCAGCCAACCAATCCAACCCCAGCAAACATAACAGAACAATCTCCAACCTACCAACTTCTCTGCAAACTCCGTAGCCTGGAACTTGACAAACTCTGTAGTGAGAGCCTGGGCCTTTAACCTGCCGATGTTGGCGATCATCACCAGGACACTGGAGTCCAGGGCGGCCTCTCGGGCCTTCTTAACTGAAACAAACCACACACATCACTGGTCCTGTAACGACTTACTCATATGTTCCGTGAATCAAACCTTATACCTTCAAGAATTCAATTCATTATTCATGGATAAAATTGAATATTTAAAAACATTCTTCAAAAGATAGTTCTCTCCTTGGATCATGTTATTAATCAATGTGACATGCAACATTGAATATGTGCAACACACGCAGAAACATAACGTGTCATTTTGCCAAGGCCTCCTACAATATTGTCATTAGGCTATAAGTTTCATTGTCACAACGTATTGCTTTTTAGCTTTACAAAAGATAATAAAGTGTTACAGTCGAAGCAATTACATGACATACTTGACATTTTAATTTCTTGATATTAAACAAAGTAATCACTAGTCAATATTTTTAATAAATATTTTATTAATTTGTGAAACATATCATGTTTGCCTCATTAAAAGATGAAAAATTATGAAATAACAACATCTTCTGCATCGCAGTCGATGCACTTTGTATCATTTATTGCATCAATTGTCAATTGAATTTATTACAGGATTAAAGGCACAATGTCACACATTTTCAACAATATTTTGGCCTATATTATAATATTGGGGCATATGCACTCACTTTAGCTTCCTATTGATGCAATAAAAGACATATTATCCCTTACGACTTGTCAAACTTAATAATTGAAACTTCGAGGCAAACAGCTTCCAAACAGAAAACACTTGCCATACATGGAATTTAAACATTTGCTCTGTACATCGAAAACTGTGGTGTTGTCAGTGTTTGCCAAACTGGTTTCAATCACGAAGGATATTCGTAAAGAACGCTCCAAGGCACATAACTCTAAGGGGTTCGCTTTGAAGAATGTCCAGCTGGTAAAGGGTGTGAGAGTGAATTTAATGCAATGTTGCATTAATACACTCTAACTTATTAATTTAATTCTGTAATCTAAATAAGTAATTTTTTGGGGGAATATATTTTAACGTAGCTACCCTGAGCGTTGATAGCGTTATTGAGAGAAATGCATTATTTGTGAGAAGTGTGATGTGACATAGTGCCTTTCAGGGTTTTACATAGCTCTTCAAAACTGGGAGTCCTGGGGACATATTTTGTTGAGAGTCCATTTCGAAAATTGGGAGTCCATCAATTTGCATGAAATCAGTGATCATGAATGCTTCCCATTTGATAATGATTATGCTATAATATGTGTTAGTTTCCACATCATTAGAATAATGATTGTAAACAGAATGTTTATATTTTAGTATGCGATATCATTACAAATTCATAAAGTTCTTTCCCAGAAGAAAATTATATTGCATCCACATGGACACACATGATTTTAGTTTGGGGGTATATCATCAAATTCCTGTTTCCAATACACAGGAATCACACGTCCTGTAAAACCCTGGTGCCTTTAAAGATTTCTAGCCTGGTAAATCCGTGACTATAGATACAACTGCTGCGATATTTACACTTTATATTTGATGTATTGCCACGTGTAAATTCAGTTCGGGATCTGATTTCAATGCCACTCAGTCTACGTGGTAAACTTAGGCTCAGTATTATCCGTTCCACTGCTACACTGAGTCTAACAAAACCTCATAGAAGGTTGCGTGAGCTAACCTTTTGGACTGACCAATCAGAACACAGCTTACCAAATCGCGTAAGGTAACATTCGCATATACCGTTTGAAGCTTTACTTAAAAAACTCGAACGATTCCGATGCTATTATCTGCACGATTGCTTCCGAGTGATGCACACAATGAGGAAACAGTCGCTGAAAATACCATTTCTGTCAATATTCAAGTCATCTTGCGAAAATATAAACAAATAGCAACCATGTCATTAGAAACCTATAAGCATATATACTGCAGGTCAAGTATCTGTGTTTTATGCGGATTTTCGTTTGTTGATAGATCAGTGTCAGCGACCAGGGAGAGAAAATCCCAAAACCGTTTTTTAAAGTCCCGTCGAACCCTAACAAGTAGTCGTCTGATTGGTTAAATCTGTTCGGCCGTCTTCAGTTAGATTGGACAGTCATAGGTCACTCAAAGGTTAGCTGACACGACCGTCTACTAGGTTTTGTTAGACTCAGTATAGCAGTGTAACAAATAATACTGAGCCTAAGTTTACTTAGACTGCAATGCAACTATGCATAGTGTAAAATTCATGTCAATGTTATGTATTGTAATACTGGATCAATACAGTAAATAGTTATAAAGATACAAGAATAAACAGTTGCTAAACCTTAGACCACCCGAGACCTGAACTTGTACTGTGACAAATGTAGCTAATGCCAGCATTAAAGAAGCAATTTACTCCCCAAGGAATACGGTTTACACATGGAAATACTGTTCAAAATGATACATGTACAGGACAAGGTGCATTGACAAGGTGCATGTCCAACAGCCTGACTTGGTTGACACATGTCATTGTATCCCAATTGTCAGATCGATGCTCATGTTGTTGATCACTGGATTGTCTGGTCCAGACTCGAGTATTTACAGACCGCCACCATTTAGCTGGTCTATCGCTGAGTGTGGCGTAAAACTAGACTCACTCACTCACTTAAGCAGTCTTTGAATTTAGCTGATAGTTTGAAATATTATAGCATGCTTAGCTTCTGGTAATGATATTACAACACTAAAACCTGATGAAAATGTTCCAAGAGTCATGTTTGGGCTAGAAGACTTATAACCTCTTTGGCACAGCCATTGTGATTTGTCTTAACTTGCTAAAATGATGTTCCTAGGGCCCCAAATCGGTGGCAAATGACAGTTAAAATTTCCCAATTTGATAAAATACTTCAGAATATACCAACATTGTGACAATGAAGAGTGAATGAGTGAGCACGGTTTTACACCGCTTTTAGCAATATTCCAGCAATATCATCGCAGGGGACACCAGAAAGGGGCTTCACACATTATACCCATGTGGGGAATTGAACCTGGGCCTTCGGCGTGATGAACAAACACTGTAGGCTATAGGCTACCCTGCTACCCCACTGTTACAATGAAAAATCCAATCCTGAAAAATATTGCTCGTCATTGATAGGCTGTTAAACCAGGCAAGCAAGGCAGAGTTTGAATTAAAGGGAGTCTTTGAGATGGGCTCCTGTAGCAGATGATGCTCAAAAGCCCCTAATCCTAAACTATACATTAGGCTACTGACAAAAACATGTTAAAGAAGCACACTTTGGCTCATAGTGAATGACATGTCAATTTTGAAACCTACACTGGGTGAGTGAGATTAGTTATATGCCACTTTCAGCAATATTCCAGCAATACCATATGTCATATTTTCACACACCTCAAATACACACTAACAATTTTTTTAAATTATAAAACTATCACTATTACTTGAGGAGGCCACAAAAAATTGAAGGTGGGATTTCACACATTGGACCACACCTATGTGGGGAAGCAAACCTGGGTCTTCAGTGCGATGAGCAAAGCTTTAACCACTAGGCTACCCTACCACCAGCAAACAAGACGCCAACCCGAAAACTGCAATGTATACTGGGACCAAATCTGGCACCATGGCCCCAAATGATTGGTTTAACCCCCTTCACTCCTACAGATTCACACAAACACATAAAAGGATATAAGGCAGGGGTGGAAATAACTTTAAAATTGCTAGTGTACTCCGGTACAGTGGCACATGTGAAATCACTTGCCCTGATAATTTTTCCACTATACCAGCCGTTTTGTTGATTTTTAAAATAAACAACATGATTAACATTGGAAAGTCAACTGGACGCCGGTACAGTGTGATATACGAATTTGCTTGCCCGCCAGAAAAAAACACTGGACTCGGACGTCGGGCAATGGGTTATTTCCACCCCTGTAAGGGGTAGTGGGTACAGTCTTTGCCATACATCTTTAAGGCCATTTGCCTTATTGTGGGTTTAAGCATCACTTTCATTGGAGTAAAGAGTCATATGGATGATTATTAGCTAAGCTTACTAGACCAGACAGAATGTTACTTGACATGGGCTTCGGACAGCGGCTAAGTTGCAGACAAGGGAGGTCCACTTTCATTATTACTGCATTTCCTTTCAAGATTCATAAGTTGAAAGTACTTGCTGATGCCTTTGTAAACATACGTAATTGCTTACACAGCTTTATGAAATGACAAATGTCAGGGCATCAGTTTGTACCAAGCAAAGGGAGATAACTTACCAGGCTTGTAGAGTTCATCGGCCTCTTTGAGCTTGTTGTTGAGGGAGTCGGATGAAGGATTAGCCAGCTCCTCTTTATTGACTGGAAACAGAGGTAATCTGTTAGGCATTTGTGCTTTATCTACCTTGGTTCCATTGTAAAAACAAACTTAGAGTTATGACTGCCGAACGTCCAACATAGGGAATGGTACTTGTGTTATGTCTTAGTGCTTAGATAACCTTGCACAACACAACCTCGTTGTTAGATCTGTCACCCAAAAAATTCACACATGGAAGATTAAGAATATAATCCCTGAAGAATCTGATAATAATTCCACAAAAATAATAATAGTGGCCATGTGCTCATTTTTTAGGTCCACAATGCAAAAGAACAACACAGAGTGGGACTAATGAGTGTTATAATTTAATACTTGTTTTGGAAGAATTTGAATCAAAATAGATGTAAAAACTGGTCATGTACTTCATCTTATTTCACAATGCAAACTAATATATTTGCAAGCACTATAAGCTCACACAAGGATACACAAGTTAATACAATAATAAGACAGATGTTGTACATTTATGCATTAATCACAGAATTCATTATTGAATTCATTCGATAAAAAAAGAAAGCATAATAAATCCATTGTTGTGACACTGGGTTTTGACGTTCATCATGCATATTTGTATGCATGCCATTTGACTGTAACTGGGTTAATATAGAACAAACTTTATGATAACAACTTCTTTTATTTGTGAGTGCGACGTTTCGATATAGATTCTTGTACCGTTGTCAAGCATGACAATTGTAAAATTGTACCAGCACACAGAATGACAACAGTACAAGAATCTGTATCGAAACGTCACACTCACAAATAAAAGAAGTTGTTATCATAAAGTTTGTTCTACATTTTACTTCCCAACTGCTAAAATGCCACTCAAAGAGGAACTTAACTGGGTTATGGTGACTTTTTTAGAATTGGTCATGGTAATAGGCATAAAAGTAACCGAGATAATTTCGGATATGGACTGGGACAACTGCTCTTCATATTGAAGAATGCTACTTCCTGATAGCCCCTGTTTGTATGTTACAATGGTATCTTGTGGGCCAGTAGCATGCTGGGTGTTGTCCATTATTAGGGGCGGTGGGGTAGTCTAGTGGTTAAAGCATAAGCTTGTCACGCCGAAGACCCGGGTTCGAATCCCCACATGGGTATAATGTGTGAAGCCCATTTCTGGTGTCCCCCGCCGTGATGTTGCTGGAATATTGCTAAAAGCGGAGTAAAGCCAAACTCAGTCAGTCAGTTGTCCATTATTATCAGAGTGTCTCTTGATGTAGTGAATATGTTCCTTTGAAATATTTTTCAGGGGAATAATTCCAAAGATATTTTTTTCATTAGAGAACCTTTTCCTGACAAGGTTTTGTTCCCCACATTTCTCTGAGATATAAATTTCTGGTATAAATTTCCTTGTAAAAATGTTACATAACCCTAACAATGATGTGTAAATGTAATCATCTCGACCTAAAATATGGAAGTTGACGTGTTTGATTCACAGAATATGTTCCACACACCTGTGCTTAGATTCTCTTTGTGAGATATATTTACACATGCAATATTTTTTCTGGATGGAACTCACAAAATGTCTGGTCTACTTCTATCCCCGTAAGTTGAAAGTACCAAAAATCGTATACACATACATACGTCTTTCAGAATACTAGTGTTGATAATAATAAAGGCTCTAGGCTTTAAGGTATCTTAAGTCTATTGGGCTACTAGTTTTTTAAAAGCAACGGAAAGAGTTCCTTCCGTTCCCCCAACCCAAAACCTAACTCTAAACCTAACCCTAACTTAAATTTTGGACTTTTAGTCATTTTGTGAGTTGTCTAGTAATTGTTGTTAAGTTATGTTAATAATTTTAGTATGTTTATAAATACCCTCGCGTCATGAGTTTCCGTGGTATTAAGACATTTACGACTATGAATCAATCGCTCATATTGCCAAGTCATCTAAACACAACATAGTGTTAGACGACATACCTTTGTATCATTTAATGTCAATAAAACACTTTTGTCATTCTGAAGTTCATTGTTGTCCGTATCGGACGACAGGTGGGAATTGTGCACAAAATCTGGTGACGTCATGTTTCCGAGGTATTTCCTACAGATCAAATTACGGGTGCACAGCACACATCACAATCTCACACGTTGTCAACAGCCAATCCGTGAGTGTCAATGTAGGTTTACAGTAATAACGAAGTTGATAAATTGTAATACAGTAAACGATTTTGTAGAATTAACACAATAGTCACATTTCTTCAGCATAAATTTCCAGTTCATAAAATATATGTAGAGTTGATCAACGGGATACGTGAAATGAAAAGTGAAAATACAACTTAAGAGATGATGCTATCGGGCTTCCATAGTTTAAAAAATAGACCTGGGATTCCCCCCTTAGGTCACGTGATTGTTTTTATTGATGACATCAGCTTGCAGACGATGTTTGGAAAACTTTGAAGCTGAATAAGTTTATAGAAAATGTTTGTAAAGATCGCACAAAAAGTGCATTACGTGCTAGACATAAAGTTACATTAGTTTTTAATAGTAGATGACTGTACGTACGCACATTGATGAAAGTCTGAACATTTTTTGCTCAGAGCCGTGCCGATCGACTGATGAACGTAAACAATCGATAGGTGGCGCGATTTGGTTAGCGGCTCGTGAGAAATTATGTCATTAGAAAATACCACGGAAACGTAAGTACGGAATCATATGACGGCATGGTATTATTTGGGATGGAGGTACGGGGGTACGGGAGGAACTCTTACCAAAGCAACATCACTGTTGTCTTATTTATAACACATAATTGCTGCAAACACAAATATATGAAACTAGTTTCCGACATGAAAAATCATTTGTTGAAAATAAAAAATAGTACGGGGAATCCCCCTTCAAAATGGCTATAGATCTATCGACCTTGTATTTCGTCAATAAGCTGTCGATATCGACGTCTAATGATCCTTCTTTCGTGTTCATCTTGTTCGTCATCGGGCGGCGGTGAACCGTCTGGCATAGCAGCTGCACCACCGTCGTCTCTTTGCATGGTTTAAGACGACTTATCGTTCCCGCGGTCCTCGATACCTCCTGTAACTTCCGCTAATATGAACTAGGCATGCGCAGTACGTTTAGAAAACGTAAACCAATCAGCGTCTCTGTAACAAAACAACACGAAAAACGCCCTGTGAAATATTGCTTCAGGATAAAGTTTGCTAAAGGGTGAGTTATTCGTTAGAGGTTTAACACAGATAATAAGGTAAGTATATACCTATGGCATTCAGAAAAAGGCCAATTCATTATCGCCATATATTGGCTACACTCGTTTCCATTAGACTTCCATATTATACCAGCAGGAGTAACAATAATTCATCACATCGAAGTTCTACAGGTATGTTGAAATTCACCAGAAAATCATTCATACAGCTATTGTCAGACATAGTGCTTGACACAATTCCTAAGATAGTGAAAATTCAAAAGTCGAAAACGACCTCTACTTTACTGTTATCACAGAGTCAATAGTGTAAAATACTAAAATAGTGTACCCCTAGCAGTTAATGTTTTGTTACTTGGAATTCATATTTTAAATAATATTATCAGGAAAAATATTTTCTTACATCTAATTAACAAAGAAGTAAGTGGGAGAGCGGCAGTAGCTATTGAACACACAAACGTTGAATTAAGAAAATGTAAACTGCATAATTATAAAAGACTGATTAAGAAGCCTATGAATCCAGGCTCTTATCAAGAGAGAATCATATCAAGCAACTTTATACTTGAACAGATGAAAAGACTGAACGAACATTAACAAAAAGCTTATTCTATAAATGATTCAAAATGGTTTTCCAGCCTTACCCAGCTATTCTCATATTTTGTAACAACTGTGAACAAAATGATTATCTGCACATTTTTGGATGGGTCAGCACTGTAGTGTAGATCTGACAAAAATCTGAAAGAAAACAGACAGGTTAGAACAGCACAGGTCATTTAAAAAATCTTCTCATACCAGTAAACAGTATCTGACTGGAGGCGGGCACCTGTAAATGAACATTACATGGCTGAATAATATATTTTAATGTTTCTAAAAAATAACGACAAATAAATGCTTTCAGTAAAATAAATATTATGTTCATTCTATATTATTTGGAATTGTAGGTAGATTACCTACCATATTCAGTCAAGCAGAACCATATCGGGGAATATTTTGTCACAGGCAACTATTTCTATTGACACCGTCGACTCGAAGTTTTCATGCATTGCGAGCTTTTACTTTCCTGCGTGATTGTTGAGCGGAGATAAGCCAGCTTGCTGTTGACGACAGATAATGCTCGGATCGTTCAACTGTCAAAACATAATTTTTCTTGAGGTACTGCGCTCAGTGTGAACATACAGCCAGATGTAATTGAGTGAGTGAGTGAGTTAAGTTTTACGCCGCACTCAGCGATATTCCAGCTATATGGCGGCGGTCTGTAAATAATCGAGTCTGGACCAGACAATCCAGTGATCAAAAGCATGAGCATCGATCTGTGCAATTGGGAACCGATGACACGTGTCAACCAAGTCAGCGAGCCTGACCACCCGATCCCGTTAGTCGCCTCTTACGACAAGCATAGTGGCCTTTTGTGTAATTGAACATAAAGACTCTTCTCAAATGATAATTTGGAAAACAATATATTCCATTTCAAACGCATGGTAACAAATATGCAGAATGGACATATGCTTTTACAATCGAGACAGCTGAAGTGATAAAACTGACGATGGAAAAATGTTTGTAAAGAAGGTTACATGCGTAGAAGAAAATATTTTATGACCGCTTCATTTGTCTCCCGAATTCAAAGGGCGGTGGAGTACCCTAGTGGTCAAGCCGAAGGCCAGGGTTGGGTTCCCCACATGGGTGCTATGTGTGAACCCTATTTCTGGTGTCCCCCCGCCGTGATATTGCTGGAATATTGCTATAAGCGGCGTAAAACAATACTCACTTACGCACTCCTGAGTTCTGGACAGAGGTAGTTAATTTCATTTCTTGTGGTCAAAATAAGTTCTGTTGAAATGTGTTTTTCATTTTTTACAAATATCACTCGTTATTTTAAAGAATGCAACAAATGACAGTTTCTGTTGTATAATACGTGATAAATTACATCAATTTTGAAGAGCAGAATGTGATTAGCTATACTAAGCGGAAAAACCCAATGAACTGTGCATGACATAAAATTGCATAAAAGAAAAGTTATTTGAAAAGTTATAAAAATAACCCTAAATACACATGTAGCAAAGCACTTTGCATGACATTTGATACCACGCATCGCGGGTGGCACGTGCACTTTGTGCACAATGAACTTACTCACTTTTTGCATGCTTTTTGACACATGAAGTTCACACACCTGATATTGAAAATTGAAGAACGCTTGGTTATTCTCTAGCCTCTAGAATGTTGTAGAAAACATCTTAAGCGTCTCCGCTCCGTGGGTATGCTGGAGATCGGAATGGCCCAAAATGAAGTTGCCAGACATTTTGGTGTCTATCGAAACACGATCTCATCTCTATGGAGACGTTTTCAACATAATGGGAACACGAGAGATTTGCCTCGGCCCGGTCGTCCTCGCGTTACGTGACGTCAGCAAAACAACCACATTCAGCTGACCCATCTAAAGAATCGATTCCAGACTGCCAGTTTGACTGCTCGGACCATTCCTGGCTTACGTCCAATCAGTTGACTGTACGGAACCGACTGAGGGAGCACAACATACGGCCCCGACGACCTGCAATACATCCAATTTTGCTCCATCGTCACCGACAGTATCTACGGTACAGGAGACAAGATTGGGATGGTGTTGTGAGATTTCTTCTGGACAGCTCAGATGACAGGGCAATGGTGTACAGACAGCGAGATGAACAGTATGCTGACGCGTGCTTTGTTCAACGTCGACAGTTTGGTGGCGATAGTGTTATGGTATGGGGAACATCACATCTCATGGTCGGACACATCGTGTCATTGTCAATGGCGATCTGATAGGTCTGTGATACAGGGATGAAATCAGTGAGCCTCATGTGCAGCCGTTCATTCAAGGACAGAGACGCAACTTCACGCTTCAGCAAGATAATGCCCTTCCTCATGTCGCTCGTGTTGAGACAGATTTCCTGAGACAGCAGACCATTCGAGCGGTACGTCTCCTGGCCATATCTTCCTACATAACTGTTTCGAGTGGTGTCAGCGTTCAAGGCTCGTGATTGGAGACAAGCCGATTTAGTCCCAAAAGTGATCATCGAGCACGCTTGAGGCGATGAAAAGGACAGGTCATGTAATGGCGTATCAATGGCGTTTACGTCAAACCCAGAATCATCAACATTGATGTTAGCTGAAAATGGGGACTTTGGATTGGGGTCTTCTCTTTGTTCACCCAGCAGAGTTATGGGGATTAACAGTTATGCTTGGGGACTTTGATTGTTCACAAAGGGGGGATTACTGTTCTTCCCTGTGAGATATGGTCCGGGCAGCTGGAGGATTAGTGACCACAGCTCACTAATTAGCTGGTTGGCAAGTGTTCACCTATGGACTCTAGTTGGGGTCTTCTCGTTCACCCCGCAGCTTAGAGGGGGATGTGTGAACAGTTATGCTTGATTGATTGTTCTTGCCTATGAGATATGGTCCGGGCAGCTGGTTGGCAAGTGTTCAGCTACAGACTCAAGATATGACAACAATAAGCATCAATTATTTTGATTAGTTATAACATCACTGTAAGTGAACTATGTTAACTGGGCACACGTATATGATGTGCATTTGGGGTCCACCCTGGCAAACATCCAGGTTGACATGTATATTACTTGATATTTAGGTAGTAGATTTGGTATCAAGACAAGGAGAGCAACTTCTATCCACTGGATAGAGGATGGTTGTGCTACAGTCAACACCAAAGGGTTGTCTATTCTGCAGCTGTGCGCTGGTGCCAGGCCACCACCAAGAAAGAGGCAGTACATCGAGATGGACAATAGACTTGACACCTTCAAGGCCAGACTTGAAGCTGGTGATCTGACTGCGATTGAGTACACAGATGGTGTATCTCGTCTCACTGGCTACTAAATATCATGTAAAATATCAATAAACAATGTATAAATCCTTTATCTTACCTCTATTTGACTATTGCTGTCATCTCTGGGACAATTGTACACACGAACAGTCCTTGTCACTAGAAAACCTTCATTTAGATGCCTTACGCACAATATGTGATGCAGTTAGAGGTACGAGCCATGCGACACTATATCATGAGACAAACCTGACTTCCTTATCGAAACGGAGAGAATCTTCTAAATTAACATTATTTTACAAAATGGTAAACCATATGGTTCCTGACTATCTTTGTTATCTTGCTCCAGGGAATGTTTCTGATAACAGTAACTACAATCTTAGGAACAATGAAAACTATCAGACTATAAGATGCAAATCTACTAATTATGCCAAATCGTTTTTGCCCGATACAATTAAACTGTGGAATGACCTACCTACAAATGCTGCAAACGCTTCCTCTGTTGGACAGTTTAAGAATTCAATCACACCACAAGTTAATACCAACACAATGTTTGATCTAAATTTTGGTAGTCGATTTTGTCAAATAATACACTGCCGCCTTAGATTGGGATGCAGTGACTTAAACAGTGATAAGTATAATCGTTTCATTTCTGATAATGCTTCTTGTTCCTGCTCACAAGATTATGAGGATGTATTCCACTGTTTCATGTGTCCTAAATATAATACCATTCGATACGAATCGTATTTCTATGTGAAAGGTTTCTCCCTGCGGGATGTGCTAAATAGCAATAACTCAGTATCTCATCAGACGAATATGGATATTCTACGGTCAGTCCATCAATTCATTATTACATCAAAACGCTTTGATTCATAAAGTTTTGTAGCTTCTCTTATTTTGTATTTGTATCAACTGGCCACGAAACAAAACCAAGATAAATTGTTGATATCCATGATTGTTATTATTCAGAGATAACTTGATATAACCACTATAAATATGTACAACATTATGCACAAATGTGAACCTTCACATGTATTATGGAGCGGCATTAATATAAGCCATTTAGGCTTGTTTGCCAATCCTTTTCTTTCTTCTTGAATAGAATATAATATGTTTAAACCAAATATGTCATTATGAATGAATGAATGAATGAATGAATGAATGAATGACCAGAAAAAATAAAGAAGGATATTCGACGCTTGTCGTAAGAGACGACTAACGGGATCGGGTTGTCAGGCTCGCTTACTTGGTTCACACATGTCATCGTATCCCAGTTGCGTAGATTGATGCTCATGCTGTTGATCACTGGGTTGTCTGGTCTTGACTCGATTATTTACAGACCGCCGCCATACAGCTGGGATATTACTGAGTGTGGCGTTAAACAACCAACGAACCAACCAACAATTGATAAAACCTAAGCTGAAGTGTTCGACTCTAATGAACAGCCGGTCAAAAGAAATAACACACCATGGTTGGTGGTGTCTGAAATGAAACAAGAAATAATGTTTTTGATACGGGTGTAATATTCATATTCCCCACTTTAAGATTCGTATAGTAACGTTTAAATAACGTTTGTGACATCAATGAAATATCAAGTGTGTATTCAAGGGTGTACATGCAGTACATCACTGAGTACATGTAAGCCGTTGACCTAGGGATTATCAGAAGGGCAATTTACTTATTTTAGGAACTTTCTATTTCCAGTAGTTCTAACTTAAAGTCAAGGAGATTTGAAAGATATATGATAACCGTGGAACAGTTGTACTTAGAAGTTAGTCTAGGACATTATGAGCACTAAGACCTAGATTGCCAGGAAGACTGGTGTTACCTCGTGGTTGTGCAATGCGATGCCAACTTATGTCAACCAGACAGTCCAACGTGAGTGCGTTTTACGCCGCACTCAACAATATTCCAGCTATATGGCGGTAGTCTGTAAGTAATCAGGTCTGGACCAGACAATCCAGTGGTCAACATCATGAGCATCGATCTATACCAATTGGGATACGGTGACATGTGTCAACCAAGTCAGCAAGCCTGACCACCCGATCCCGTTAGTCGCCTCTTACAACAAGCATGGTTTGGTGAAGACCAATTCTAACAGGGATCTTCACTGGTCAGCCGAACGAAGTCCAGTATTTCGACAAGAAAGAGAGTGGGGTCATGGTTGTTGCTACTGTCTTAATGGAAAAAGACATGTTGCTGATTATCACCAGGAGATAATCACAATCAAAACACCAATAGATATACTGTGGCGACTTAACGGGATCGGGTGGCCATGACGCACCGTATCTACACCATTGCGTGCGGTGTTGAACAACAAACAAAAAGTGGAACACTTTTTATGGATAGACAACTTCTTTGTTGCAGTAGTAGTTGCGACGTTCAACTACTGGCTTCAATCATTCCTATCACAACAAGTCTTACGTCAACACACCGTACATCAACCTCTTCTATTGTATAAACCAATGCCCGCTATGTATATATTTCTCCTTGTGCAAATGTTGTGTATCATTTGCTTGATAACGGTGTTAGGATCTACACCGAAACGTCGCAACTACTACCGCAACAAAGAAGTTGTCTATCCATAAAAAGTGTTCCACTTCATCATACCAGCTTCTAAATGCCACTTAAGGAAGAAACAAACAAAAACACAAAATGGACGGAATACCTGTTCTAGTGAGTGAGTTTAGTTTAGTTTAGTTTTACGCCGCTTTTAGCAATATTCCAGCAACATCACGGCGGGGAACACCAGAAATGAGCTTCACACATTGTGCCCATGTTGGGAATCGAATCCGGGTGTTCGGCGTGACGAGCGAACGCCTTAACCACTAGGCTACCCAACCGCCCTTCTCATCCCTAACAAACAGTGGCTATAAATAGTGCAGGTTTTCCTGTACTGTGAGCATTAATATACATTACAGCAGGGAACCGTCACTCGGACAGTGACAAGTCGATATAGTTCCCATACTAAAACCTGTTTCTTAAACCGTGGCGCCACTACATGTATTCAGAATAGCAACCACCTACACATGTTAAATGTTTTACAGGGATGGCAATGCCAAGAAGTATCTCGACACATTTGGGTTATGGTTATGGTTTATAAATTAATGCATGCGGAAGTTTGTCTACAAATACTGTCTTTATCCGTTGGCTTTATCTTGTTGAGAAACCTACCCATTGTATCATAAATACGACTCTTAATACGAACTTTTAAACCAGAGGTCTTACAAACAAGCAGCATACTAAAACGTATCTTTGCTACAATGTAAAACCGCTACTGTTCGATGAATGAGATTTATTTCTGGATACTATTTCAGCCAATAACAGGATTACTGGTATATTTAGAACAAAAGGAGTCATATTCTTTCCTGACCCACGGATTCGTCTCCTTGAAGGCTGTGTTGACTGCCGAATACTTTAACAGGGCTGACTTCAGTTTGGCTTCCACTGGACCCTTGAACTGAACAAAGGATTGCTGTTCCCCTGCTGGACCCTTAGCATACACGTAGTTGAAACCTTTCAGAGGTCCATCAGTGAACTCTTCACTGTACTGTGCTGCAGGAACACTAGCCCCTAACGTCTGCACATCAACTGCTCTATTGATCTTAAACTCAGGGAACTTATTCTTGGCAGCCTTTTTCTCCGCGTTCTGTAGGAAGTTGTTCAGATCAACGTTGGAGTCAACGAAGAAGGCGACGTGCATGTTGTTGATGTAGGCAGGACTGCTCCAGTTGTATCTGGGATTGAACTTGGGATCTGACAGAGATCTTCCTGCAGTGTATAACAGAGTTTCCACTACATAGTTATCAAAAAGGTTAAATCTATGGTCAAGTCTGTCATTTCCTGCCATAGAAATATTTGCAATCCCTATATCTCGGGGCTTAGTTCCCCAAGAGAACGCATCAAGAATTTCTTTCTGGAACAACATGTTTTCAACATCGTCTCCTCGAACGTTCACTGCCTGTAGTGGTTTATGAACCAGCTCTGAACCGAGGACCTGTGTGTAAAAGCTGACGGATTTGAAAAGGTCATCGGTTCTTGTTCCAAACTGGAACATCCCGTAAAGCTGACCACTGACTCCAGCAGCTTTCTTCCATTGGTTGTCAGACTGATTGTCCAAGAAGGCTGTGGCTACGCCCTGTCGTCGGCAATAATCACTGCCAAGGTGGTACCTGGATTGATTTGTAATTTGGTATAGTTCCAGTTGCTCGCCTCTGGGGCCTTTCCAGTATGCGAATGATAAACCAGCAAAGTCTCCACTGGTAAAAGTAAGACCAAGCTGGTTTTTGGGAACGGCTAGTCGTTCAGCTTCGTTGTGAACCGTTACTGGTCTGTTGACCTTGACCTGATGAAATCCAAGATCATGTGACCTTCTTTCTAGTTCCGCAATGTAATGGTTGAAATCCACGTCGTCCTTGACCCAGAAACATATATGTGGGGCTGCGATGTAGCAGGGGCTGGTGCGACGTTCACGGATGTCGAAGACAATGTCAGAAGATGATTTCAGCACATACTCTACCAGTTGGATGATGCCGTTGTCAAAAACGATGAAGTTACCTCGCACCTGCCAAAACAAATGCATAGCAAAACAGATATAATGTAAATGGTAAATAATTGTGTCTATTGGCGTTTAATCTCAAATTTTAAAACTTTATTGACCAAGTTTGTTAATACGAGTCCCTTAATACCTGGATTAGGTGAAGAGATAAGCTGTAGTTCCTGGATTAGGTGAAGAGATAAGCTGTAGTTTTCCGTCTGCGCATAATAATCGGATCATGTTTTCTCTAAAATACTGAATCCCCCAGAGGGGCGCGCATTATCCATGGGTCATGGTATGCTGTTGATTACTGGATTGTCTGGTCAAGACTCGATTATTAACTGACCGCCCTCATGTAACCGGAATATTGCTGAGTGCGGCGTTAAACAACAAGCCAGCAAACACCGAGGAACCGTTTCCTATCATGTATAATAGGAAACACGACGTATAAATGACTTGTGCAGAAATGTTAGGAAGATACATTATTTATGCAGAAAACTATTTCTTTCAGTGATCCAGTAACTGTTGAATATGTATATCTGAGGAGTGGGTGGGTAGAGTGGGCAAGTCAAAACATTGATTACACAACAATCTCGTTTCCTGTTGACTGGGTCCCGTCCTATTGCGCAACTTAGTACAATAACCAGTTCAGAATTTTAAGACCAATTCATTTAGCTGGATACATAAATATTAATCAGTATTATGTGATACATCTAAGCACTTGTATATTGCAACACTACGCTCCTTCTAATCCTTGCAAACACGTCGTGCAGCGTGCTCTGTCGTACAGCGAGCTCTGACAAACGGAAACCTGGAAATCGTGGAAATCTCAAAACGTTTGGCGTCTGGTACGGAACTGATATTATATCAATCACATTGTGCGTTACAGAACTACACTGAATAAGCGCAAAAGAAACACATAACAGGTGTAACCAGTGAGCCAGATGCATTGTGAATCATTTTACGACCTCATCAAACAGCGGCAGTCTGTGACCTCGCCATAAAATATAGAAATACGATGTTGTTAAAGTTTAAAATTAAAATTAAATTCATTTGTAAATACCATTTTCTTATGAAACTAGGAATTGGAATTCAGTGTAACCATAGTTGTTTGTGATGTCTATTTTCACTTTCACACGAGAAAATTCGGATCGGCTGAAAAGTAGGTCATTGTCTGAATAGGTTAATGAGACTCATGTTTCGGGTTGTAGTTGAGAAAAAGGTTAGGTTTGGACCAATCTGCAGCCCCACAAGTTTACTTACGTCATTAAATCAAAATCGAAAAAACATTTTCATATTCATAACAAATCTCTATTTGAATCAAGATCCAGTGCACACGTCCGACTATATCTTAAGCATGTATTCATGCACCATCGAATCAAAGCGACTACCTGGTTGGGAAACCTGCACAGGGCTTCTATGATGCTTTTGTCACTGATGCATCAAATTTAAAACAACACACGTCTTTAACACGCTACTATGATGCTTTTGAAAACCGAGGCCTTTACATTTGGAATCTCGACGAAACAACATTTGAGCACGACGCTTTCTATAATCTTCTTAGACAGTAGTTATATTTGTCTGACCTCGTGAGTACCTCGCTATGTAACCTCGTGAGTAGGTACTTCTTATATAACCCACAAGTACTACTATATCCAATATAGTGACCTGAAATAATTATATCGATATTTACTGATGTCATGAATACCTCGATCACCAAACTAGTGACGTCACGAGTACTATTATGCCCTATATACTGATCTCGTGAGTACATTAACCCCTCTGCACTTACTTCATGAGTATCATTATCCATTCATACTAACTTAAAGTGTACCGTTATTCCACACATACTGACCTTACGAGTATCGTTATTGCATATTCACTGACCTCGTGTGTACCGTTATCACGTATATCCGGTATTCCCAGCTGGGCAGGGTCAACCCCTTGTGTTCTGGCGTCCATGATCTCCTTCTGGAACATCCGGTAATAGTGAGAGTCTCCGCTGAAGGTGAAGGCCAACTCTGGCACCAGCATACCCCCGAGTACTTGAGTGTAGAAATGCGTTGAAGCGGTCAAATTGTCAGTCGTCACGGAGACGTAGGCGATGCCATGGAGGGAGTTTTGGTTACTGGACAGGACAAGTTGCAAGAAAGCAACGACCAGCAACAATATTGGTGTTAATAGCAACATTATTCTTGTTGACGTGGGTGAAATGGTTGACAGCTACCTATATATGTTTCTGTCGAATTCTGTCGAGTCATCAATTTGTGGGAATGTGTCATATTTACGAAGATAAGATAGTACGACAAACTGTAGCACATGGGTTCGGTTGCAACGTCACGTATGCTCCTTGATTATCATATAAACTGTAAAATTCAAATGTATGCAAATTGTTACGTGTTGATTTCAACTTGGAAAAGCGAAGGGTAACACAGAATTCATTCATGCTGAACTAAATCGAAAAAAGTAGGTAAATAACCACAGAAGATCAATGAACAAACAACAGATTTTATTGACAGATACGGGGTTAGGCATATACTCGCTGAAGACAATACACTGGTCAAATGTGTGGGGAACCTCTACTGTCCCAATGAACAATTCACAGGTTATGTTGGCAGATACTGGGTTAGGCGTAAACTCGCTGAAGACAATACACTGGGTCAAACGTGTGGGGAACCTCTACTGTCCCAATGGTGGCTCCAGTTATGAACAAATGCAAGGCTAGTTAGTTGTTCAGCTGAAAAAACACACGCACGGGAACTGATGGTACAAGTGAAAATAAGGAATTTGGATCAGTCATAATTTTGTCATTGGTGCGTCAAATTTGGAAATGTCCACCACATAGTTGCTTTTAAGCTTTGAAATCTTTACTGCGCCCTTTAATGTTTAAACCTTGAACAAACAACTTCTAAGCGAGAGGGGTACATGTATTGAAAAGGACGTTTTTATGTCTGAAATATCTAGGTATGATTTCTCCCTAATAAATTGGTCAAAATAAAACCTCCCTCCCTTCATTTGTGTCCCCGGAGGTGTCTATTTTACATGCACTCAATGAATTAGGAATGGCAACGTAATGGTGCTGGTGGCAATCTCCCAACAAACCTGATGCAAGTGCAACTTAATGGCAACCTTGTGATGAAATACTGCAGCCGCTTTGTTCCTATTTGTAACCAGCATTTTCCAACACGACAATGCTAAACCGCATAAAGTACGTAACATCAGCACTCATCAGCGAACCGCAATATGCAGATCCTGCCATGACCACTTATGGTTACTATGGTAAATACGGTAACGACTGTTATTTGAAACGTTTTCCACGTGAAGTTATTGATGTCACGTGGTGCGGTTGTGTAATGCAGAGATCAAGGAGTGCGTGGGACCACTCAAGCCTTCGCGTCACACAAGCGAGCGGTCGTTGTTTCTCTCTCGTTTCCTTAGAGACATCACAGCAGGAAATTTTTTATTCTGTTGCATTTCCATCACGAGGGATACGTATTTCAGTGTTAAAACTGTTAAGGATCTGTTTGATAATTTATTATCGAATTTTTAAAAGAAATAGAATTGATTGATACATTTTGAGTCATACGTTTTGTACATAGATGTATTTTTGTAATTGGTAGTTTAAATTAGCAACTGAGATTGTACCTTCAAAGGGGGTTAAAGTACTGTAAAAGTATTGTCCTCCTGAGAGGGTACGTAAGTCCCCAAACTTGCAAAGTAAATTTGAACTGACCACATTTACACACTTCACTATTTGTTACGAGGGATGGATGCAGAGAGAGGAACAGCCAGGTGTGCGGGGAAGGATGGCGAAGTCACAACACAGGTAAATGAATCAACAACTTTGTCGGCACTTGTTCGGGTGCTTTTCGCTGTTCTTCTCTTTGAAATCCTTCCTCGTAAAAAATAGTGAACTGTGTCAAAATTTTAATGATTGTTTGTTAAACAACCTTTCTATTTTTGGACATAAATTCTGCAAAAAGCTCACAGAGTTGGTCTGATGTTTTGATTATGATCAGCGTTTCATTGAGTATTATATATTTATTAGTTTTCGAGTTAGATTGTGATATACTAGTTGTTTTACTGTCGTTTGGCGGCAGACTTTATAAAATACATTTATAAAGTATTTACTGTTTTAGTCACGATATGGCTGAAATATTGCCAAAGTGACTTTAAATTTTCACTCACTCACTGTTGCACATCTACATGATCATTGTCAAACCCACAGAGCTCAGAATTCTGTGGAAGGATTTGCGACCTTTCAACCTTTTACACAATATATATGCTTGAAATGTTAAAGACTTTGAAACGTAAAACAGTTTCGGCGAATGTATTCAGCCCAGTAACGTTTTGATAACGTTTATAATATTTTAGTCAATGAAATTTCAAGTGTGTAATTTCAGTACATGTATATGTCAGTCTGTAAGTTAAAACTTAAATATATTTTCAACATCGGTATTTTGGATCAGGATAGCACAAAAGACTGTGTGCATCTTTTCAGGGAAACTAGCTCCATAAGTATAAAAAACAAGTGCGTTAGACGTGCAGGAAGATCTGCAGTTTGTTGGGCAGTAGTCGCAGAGCTGGAAGGAGATGAACTGCCTTCAAATTCGGATGAGGAGACACGCTCCGAGAGAGCAGGAAGTAAGAATACAGATTTGCCACAGGTCTCCCGTTCAGTGCCAAAACAGCCCAGTAGGTGGTCAATACCTCGAAGTTTCATCTGCAAACAATGTCAGACCAGAAACCAGAGGTGTTGAATTTGTACCAACTGAGTACACATGCCTAGTTATTATAACAAAACAGACACAAAAGCGACTAAGCCTCGTGTTGAGGCAAGAGGAAATCTAGATCGTTTAGGTCGTCTTTGTACAGATTAGAAAGAATCAACTACTGTACATTCTAATGGTTTCTTTAAAAACTTCTTTCTTCCTCTTTAGTCCTGGTTCTGGGGTGTGAGGATTTAATCGTCAGATTGTTTCGTGAGAGTACAAACATATGCAAGTAAAAAGCATAAACCTTCCAAAGTACGACAATTAGACCCTTATAATATAAGAGAGCGACGGAGATCGTTCTAGATATCGTCAAAAATAGGCCATCACAGTTTTCGCTTCCCATGTCTTGCTGCACGAAACTCTGAAAATACACTCATGATCCTCAGAAACAATGACTTTGAAAATCATTATTGTCGACGATCATGGCCGCTTTGTAATTTTAGATATCACTATTTTAGATTCTCGATTTTAAACATATGTGACCCAAACAGTGGTTCACTTAGCTTCTTGCAATACAGTTGAATTTGTATCCGTGTCCAATTGTATGGGAAGGAGACTGGAATGTTGACAACAAATAACTAAAATATAGCTTGACTATCGGACATATGAAGAATATAGAAATTTTGAAAGATAAATTGTATTTGGTTGACCCTTTAAGAATATGTAATCTAGACAAAGACATATGCGCTCGGAGACAATCCTACCAAACGAAGTAGACTGGACTATTTTCTTGTCTGTGAAGACATTATTTTGTTACGAGGATTGGCTATAAACCTGACCACTCAATTTCTCCCTTGAACTGAAGTTAAATTCCATTGATAGAGGATAGTGTTACTGCAAATTGTATTCTTCATTATCACATGAGGTAGAATATACTACTTTGGTGATGATAAATAACATCAGTTACATTTTACATAATGTAATTCGGGGCCACTGACAATCTAGAGGATGTAAACTTTGCAAACTACTCTTTGAACCACTGAAGATTCTCCGCAAGGCGTAACAGAGACATGTTCCTGCTTTATCACAGAATCCTAAAAATATTACAATTTTTGCCAAGAAGTTTTTATTATCACAAGGAATCACCGAGGCAGTACCGTGATCCACAATCTACGTAGTTAGGAGACCTGACCAGCAGAGCGCATTTGGTCAAAGAGTATTGGCTGCCCAATTCTTTTGGGTTCACAGAAACAGCTTGCACGAATTCATTGTCGGGAAAGGCAAATATACTGCGATTCTTAACTCCAAGGTCAAATCAACCAGGAATCTTAAGCTACTAAGTGACTGGCACACACAGCAGGCAACGAATACATGTCACAGAAGACGAGACCTGATCAGCATAAAATACTTCATTTATTTCTGAATAAACGATGAGATTGCTGGAATATCTAGAACAACAGGAGTCAAATTCTTTTCTGACACACGGATTTGTCTTTCCATTTGACATATCTGTACTGTTCAATAAATGAGCTTTATTTTCGGATATTATTTCAGCCTATAACAGGGTTACTGGAATATTTCGAACAAAACGAGTCATATTCTTTTCTGGCCCACGGATTCGTCTCCTTGAAGGCTGTGGTGACAGCCGAATACCGCAACAGGGATGACTTCAGTTTGGCTTCCGCTGGACCCTTGATCTCAACAAAGGATTGCTGTTCCCCTGCTGGACCTTTAGCAAACACGTAGTTGAAACCTTTCAGAGGTCCATCAGTGAACTCTTCACTGTACTGTGATACAGGAACGCTAGCCCCTAATGTCGGCACATCAACAATTCTATTCAGTTTAAACTGAGGGAACATATTCCTGGCAGCCTTCAGCTCTGCCTTTTGAATGAAGTTGTTCAGATCGACGCTGGAGTCAACGAAGAAGGCAACGTGCATGTTGTGATGGAGGCAGGACTACTCCAGTTGTATCTGGGATTGAACTTGGAATCTGACAGAGATTTTCCTGCAGTATACACCAGAGTCTCCACCACATAGTTATCAAAAAGGTTAAATGTAAGGTCAAGTCAGTCGGAACATGCTAGGGAAATATTTGCAACCCCTATATCTCTGGGCTCAGCTCCCCACGAAAATGCACCAAGAATCTCTTTCTGGAACAATATGTTTTCAACATCGTCTCCTCGAACGTTCACTGCCTGTTCACGGATTTAAAAAGGTCATCGGTTCTTGTTCCAAACTGGAACATCCCGTAAAGCTGACCACTGACTCCAGCAGCTTTCTTCCATTGGTTGTCAGACTGATTGTCCAAGAAGGCTGTGGCTACGCCCTGTCGTCGGCAATAATCACTGCCAAGATGGTACCAGGATTGATTTGTTATTTGGTATAGTTCCAGTTGCTCGCCTCTGGGGCCTTTCCAGTATGCAAATGATAAACCAGCAAGGTCTCCACTGGTAAAAGTAAGACCAAGCTGTTTTTGGGAACGGCTGGTCGTTCAGCTTCGTTGTGAACTGTTTTGGGTCTGTTGACCTTGACCTGATGAAATGACCTTCTTTCATGTGACCTTCTTTCTAGTTCTGCAATGTAATGGTTGAAATGCACGTCGTCCTTGACCCAGAAGCATATATGTGGGGCTGCGATATAACAGGGGCTGGTGCGACGTTCATGGATGTCGAAGACAATGTCAGATTTCAGCACATACTCTACAAGTTGGATGATGCCGTTGTCAAAAACGATGAAGTTACCTCGCACCTACAGAAACAAATGCATATTATCATTCATCATGAGTTACCGATAGAATATGACGAATTACTCACTTGTACAGAAAGAAACATTTTTTCGGATAAAATAAGAAGTTTCTATCTTGATCCAGTTGTAGTTAAATAAGCAACGTGTTTAAGGTTAAAGGGAGGGTTAGGCCACGGCCATTTGGCAGTTCTACAAGTTTATTGAAGTCATTCAGATAGAGAGGGGCAAAATTATCTTCATAATCATGTGAAAATCTCTACTTAAATCATCGTGAGTAGATTAATTACTTTACTCGTTTCTTCTAATATACCGACCGTATGAGTGTTGCTATAGCCAATATAGTGACCATTGCCATTTACTGGTGTTGGGAACACCTTAATTACCTATGTACTGGCCTCGTGAATATACCAACTTTATATGTTTTCGGGTATGTCAGCGCTTTGAGCATGCAATGTGCATGGATAAACGCGCAATATTAATGGACTATTATTATTATATGTACTGTAATCCCATACGTACTGACCTCATGAGTTCCGTTATCCCATTTATACCAACCTAATGTGTACCGTTATTTCAAACATACTGACTTTATGAGCACCGTTATTGCATATGTACTGACCTCGTGAGTACCGTTATCCCATATATCCGGTCTTCCCAGCTGGGCAGGGTTAACCCCTTGTGTTCTGGCGTCCAGGATCTCCTTCTGGAACATCCGGTAGTAGTGAGAATCTCCACTGAAGGTGAAGGTCAACTCTGGCACCAGCATCCCTCCCAGAACCTGAGTGTAGAACTGCGTGGACGCCGTCATGTTGTCAGTCGTCACGGAGACGTAGGCGATGCCATGGAGGGACCTTTGGTTGCTTGACAGGACAAGTTACATGTAAGCAACGACCAGCAACAATGTTGGCGTTGACAGCAGCATTATTCTAGTTGACGTGAATGAAATGGTTGACAGTCTCTTATATAGTTTGAAACCTTTGTGATAAAATATGGACAGTTGTTTTGAGTCTTAAATGTGTGGAAGTATGCCATGTTTAAGGAGATAAGATAGCCCTATGCCGATAACTGTAAACAAGCTCCTTACATAAGAGGGAGAAATCATTTGCATAGTCAAATTATGAGCCAAAACGTTAAAGTTAGCAAATATGTTCACTGTTCACAGAAATGTCCACTTCAATACTCTAGTACATAATATGTAAATAATAACATAGCTACCAATGTTTCGTGTCGATTTCGAAAGTCAAACTGTATGCAGAAGAATTTAGTGTGAAACCAACGTTTCACAAATCCAAATCAGTTAGTGATAACAGAATTGAAAATTCCTTCTTTAAGACTTCATGCCTCATCAAGTTTATCCGGTTGGGATGTTTTTTGACAGACACAGCGACAGCGTCACCTACAGCAGCATGACACTCTGGTCTATAAGACCAGGTTTAAACATAAATCTTCAAGCTAACAAAATGGACAGATGCACAAGTAAAATCACACCAACCTACTAACAAGCCAATGACTCGCCATAAAGTTAAGTTGCGGCCAAACCACCCAAGAGCTATGACATTTACAAAAGCACGAGGAGAAAGAACAATCTGCCCAGAAACTCACCCTTTGAGGCAGCAAATGGCAATAGTAGCAGTAGCAGCCTGCTGTAACCGATCCATTTTGGATTTATTCAGACATACCCAACTGTCCCCAGACACTCTCTGCTTGATGTCCTTCCACAAACATGAAAATGAAACTTTGTGTACCCCTCTAACAAGTCTAAATTGGGTCACACGACCGAAGGCTATGAATACATATAGCCATATAGAAAGTGGTCAAATATAACATATGTGACATTAATGCTAGGCGTTAGCGAACAGGTGAGCGTATCCTGCATAGAATACCTACAGCACATTGATGGGTTGATGAGAGACATCCCACAGCACAGGGGGTCGAATCACTGTTTGGACAATCATTTAAAAAAATATAAATCTAGACTTTTGCAATCACATATCAATTTATATATTATGATTACAATATATTTCAAACACAATATATAATAGTGTCGCGGTAGAATTTTCTAATCGTTATTTCTTCACCAATTTCGTCCAATTTTGAACCTTTCTTGGCACCGTCAGATTCCTACCTTTCGAAAGCATACTCTTTATATCACAAAGAGCTTATTTCATAATCATATTGTGGCTAAAGTATAGAGCTCATCAGACCATTTTGTCATAACCTCGTTATAAACGTAGTGTACCATAGGAATAAATGACAGTTGATGGACGGGCTGCATAATGAAGGCAAGAAGTGAGGACAGAATGAATGTTAACCTGTATTTGTTTCTGCTAATATTTGTGATTTTACGGCCGAGTGTGGTGGCAAGATTAGGTAGTCGTATGAGTTTGGGTAGTGTGCTGTTCTATTCGAGACGAGATAATGTTCCATATATACCACAGTGGCCTGAATATATTTTTCGAAATTTGGCCAGACAAACTAGTGGTTGATACCATAACGAACAACTCCGTCAAGGTACAGTTATGTGTAATGAACCAGGAAACCTGACCAGCAGAATGCATTTTGTAGAGTATTTTCACAAGCAAGGGAATGCTGGCGACCCATTCCTTCTGCGTTCACTGAGACAGTTTTTTTCAATTTATTGTCAGTAAAGGCAAAGATAATGCGATTCTTTAACACGAATGGGAGGGTTATACAACCGGAAGTCTTAAGCTAATAAGTGACTGGAACACATATCACACAACGTAGTCATCTCGTCGAAGTCCCTGTTTGAAATACTACATTCAGCTACCTGATAAATCAGTTTTATTTCTGAAGGTAAACCCGTTTATCCAATATTGGGGTCAGTGGAATATTTAGAACAAAACGAGTCATATTCTTTCCTGACCCACGGATTCGTCTCCTTGAAGGCTGTGTTGACTGCCGAATACTTTAACAGGGCTGACTTCAGTTTGGCTTCCGCTGGACCCTTGAACTGAACAAAGGATATCTGTTCCCCTGCTGGACCCTTAGCATACACGTAGTTGAAACCTTTCAGAGGTCCATCAGTGAACTCTTCACTGTACTGAGCTGCAGGAACGCTAGCTCCTAATGTCTGCACATCAACTGCTCTATTCAGTTTAAACTGAGGGAACCTTTTCCCGGCAGCCTTTTTCTCCGCGCTCTGTAGGAAGTTGTTCAGATCAACGTTGGAGTCAACGAAGAAGGCCATATTCATGTTGTTGATGTAGGCAGGACTGCTCCAGTTGTATCTGGGATTAAACCTGGGGTCTGACAGAGATCTTCCTGCAGTATACTGCACTGTCTTCACTACGTAGTTATCAAACAGGTTAAAATTAAGATCACGTCTGTCATCTCCTGCCATAGAAATGTTTGGAACCCCTATTTGTTTCGGGTCAACTCCCCAAGATTCTGCATCAAGAATCTCTTTCTGGAACACCATGTTTTCAACATCATCTCCTCGGAAGTCCACTCCCACCAGTGGTTTAGGAACTAGGTCTGCACCAAGGACCTGAGTGTAGAAGTCATTGGACATCAAAAGATCATCTGTTCTTGTGGCCAGCTCGTATATCCCGTAAAGCTGACCACTGACTCCGGCAGCTTTCTTCCATTTGTTGTCAGGGTGGTGGTCCAAGAAGGCTGTGGTCACCGCACGCCGCCGGCAGAACTCACTGCCAAGATAGTATTTGTAACGTCTTACAATTTGGTTCAGTTCCAGTCGCTCTCCCGATGGCCCTTTAAAGTAAGCCATCGATAAGCCATCAAAGACACCAGTGTTAAAAGTAACATCAAGCTCGTTTTCAGGGACGGCTAGTCGTTCAGCTTCGTTGTGAACCGTCACTGGTCTGTTGACCTTAATCTGATCTAAACCAAGATCACGTGATTTTCTTTCCATTTCAGCAATGTAGTGGTTAAAATCCACGTCGTCCTTGACCCAGAAACATACCATTTGGGCTCCAATGTAGGCGGAGCAGGAGCGACGGTCACGCATGTCAAAGATGGTGTCAGTTGATGCTTTAAGCACATACTCCACTAGTTGGATGATTCCGTTGTCAAAGATGATGAAGTTACCATGCACCTGCAGAAACAAACACGTATTACAGTTCTATCCATGTCATTCAAACGATCTTATGTCATATGTTTTATGGATATTATTTAAATTTGAACATCAGAATCTCCTTACACTACGAGGGGAATATCCAGAAACTGCTTTTGATGACGTCCCAACATCCCTTTTATGTGTTAAGTTTAAAGATACACTAGCCACATAAAGAAACTGTGCATTGTCAAAATATTATCCCAGTTGATAAGTACGGTAACAATGTCAAAGGTACATATAAACTTTAATGGAGGGTTCATGAGACCATAACAAGTCGGGAGAATTTCAATTGAAAAGTCAATCATAATGACGTCACGAGTCCACAAGCGGGACAGGGGTCAAACGACCATGTCACAAGCTCAAATACGGGTATGTCCACCATCGGCATTGAGAACAGCAGTGCATCGACGACGCATAGAGCCTATCAAACGTGCAAGAAGGCTTGTGGGATGTCACGCCAGATTCTCTCAAGTCCTGTTGCAAGGTCAAGGACGTTATCTGGCGGATGAGGAAGACGGCGTAGACGTCGATCCATCTCGTCCCAAACATGCTCTATCGGGGAGAGATCCGGTGAATTTGCAGGCCAAGGCAGTAAGTCAACGTTGTGGTGTTGCAAGAAATCCATAACAACCCTTGCCGTATGAGGACGGGCACTGCCCTGTTGGAATGTTAACCCAGGACCATGACGTTGCAGGAAAGGAATTGCGACAGGTCGAAGAATCTGATCCCTGTAGCCCACACCAGTTAAGTTGCCCTGAACAATCACCAAAGGAGTTCTTTGGCGTGCTGTTATTCCACCCCAAATCATCACGGAACCACCACCAAAGCGGTACCTCGCCAAGACACAGGCCTGTGCATAACATTCTCCCACGCGTCTATAGGCACGTTGACGTTCATCACTATGGGAAATGCTAAACCTGGACTCATCTGTAAAAACAACATTTCTCCACCAAAACAAGGGTCTGCGGACATGATTTCGGCACCACATTCGGCGAGCTTGTCGATGACGTTGTGTCAGGATAGGCCTATGGCGGGACGTCGTGGTCTGATCCCGTAATGACGTAAACGTTGTCGAACTGTGTTGGGGTGGGTACGGCGAAGTCCTGGGATGGTTCGGGCAGTCATCACTGCAGTCTGAAACCTTTGGCGAAGATGGGTCACCCTTATCCATATGTCCAGTCTTGGCGTTGTTACACGTGGACGTCCAGAACGTGGCCGATCGATGACGTCATTTGTGTTCTGGTAGCGTCTCACTAGTGCAGAAATGGTGTTCCGGTGGCAGTGGAAATGTGCAGCCACTTGTCGTTGAGACATTCCCCCACGGACCATCCCAATGGCCTCATGACGTTGTGCAGACGTGAGCCTTGGCATGCTATGCGTTTCAATAGCCGTTTAATTTTTTGAACGATCGCAAGGGCAGGGGTTGAGCTTTCCAAAGTGACAGTATTGTGTGGCATTCATTTGCTCTGTTTCCCATTCCCGGAATGCACGTGCAACAACGTATTGCACGTCTCCAGGATGAACCCACTGACGTCACGGAACGTGGCAAGTGCATGCATGTTGGATACATGTCACTAATCTCTGAGTTTAAATCCTTATGTGTCTACACAGGTTTGATAAATTTAGATTTTAAATTTTTGTATGCACAGTTTCTTTATGTGCCTAGTATAGTTGCAATGTAACATCCCTGTTGCAAACATAGACCAAATATAACATGCACCACCCATTCAAACATCAAGTGGTTCCAGTACAAAATCCCACTCCATATCCTACCAACTAATATCCGTTTACTAACAATGGGCTATACCCAATCAGATACATGAGACTTTTGTTCCTTCAAAACAGATACATTGCAACAAATATTTTGGGAATGTGATCATGTAAGGCGCCTGTGGACCAAACTGGAAGGTTGGCTGAAAGAAAGAGCTCATATAGAGATTCACTTTTATAAAGAAAGAGCTCATATAGATATTCACTTTTATAAAGAAAGGATACTCATTGGTTTTCCAGAGAGAAACAATGATCCACTAAATATAATCATCTTGATTTTCAAAAAGACTATATTTGATAATAAACAGAAACGATTGCCAACCTTCCAAACATTAATATACAAAGACCGTGATTATTATAATGTTACTACAACTGAAATATCAAATAGAGTCTATATGTTTTACAAATTCTTTGTCATTTGCTGTTTATGTAAACGTATTGTGTGACTGATACCTGTCTTTACTATAAATAACTAAAAAACTATAAATAGAATAAAGAAAAAAGTTTAAAGATACAAAATGCGATCTGGGGATGATGGGTACTTGAATAGTCGGAGGTTATGGAATGGTACATGTTATTGGTCAAATAGCTGTGCTTCTATTTGTGGTATATAAAAAATGCGTATTTCTGTACACAACCAATGGAAACAGAATAGGGAAATTTCGTTAATATCAAGTATATCAATGCTCAAGCTGTTGTTACTTGTGAAGAAGTCTTGAATCCCTTCACTCCCATATACTGGCGGACCGCCTCCGCCGTGTAGTGGTTAGAGCGTTCGCCCGGAGGCGGAAGGTCGCGGGTTCGATCCCCGACTGCATCATACCAAAAGACGTTAAAATATGGTACTTGTTGGTCCCTGCCTGGCGCTCGGCATTAATGGGTACAACAAGGACTGGTCGGCTCGGAGTCAGTATAATGTGTCTGAGTGGGGTATTCATGCTTCACTGCGGCATGGTATCACAGTGAGCTAGCACTATAAAACCAGCTTCAGTCTGGGCTAGTACAAGCAACCGCACATACACATACACACGCATGCACGTCGTCATATGAGCGAAATATTCTCAAGCACGCCGTTAAACCAATTCCACCACCACCACCCATATACTGGCCTCATGAAAAGAATTATTCCCTATACATTGCCCCCCCTGATTTCAGTTATGCCGATAAACAGACCCCATTGGTACTATAATTTCCTATTTACTGACGTCATATTCCCCTTTATAGCATACATACCAACCCGTGGGTTACCCCCTATATACTGACTTCCTGAATATCGTTATCTTCTACAGTGAACTACGGTTAAAACAAACTCAAATGGGCCACTATTTTTTTGTTCGTTTTCTCCGTAGTTCGTTATACGTACTTAAACTAAAGAAATAGTAAGTGCCAGGGATCCCATAAACATTTCGTTTCATCTGACAGTTCGTTATAGACGTATCTTACTTTTTTACTGACGTATTTTACTGTTTTACTGAAATCACGAGTACTGTTATCCTCTTAATACCCAGCGCATGCGTATGTTTATCCCTTATATACTGACACCATGAATACCATTATGCCCTTATAATGATTCATGAATACCGGTGTTCACAATATAAACTACCGGACAAAAGAAAGTTATCACCGACTTCACTTGATACAAAGTAGAAAGAAAGACGTATGTGAGATAAATGATGATAATTTTTCAATACTTTGACTGAAACATCATCGTAGCGATGGCCTTGCATTTGCCGCACTTCATAAAGAAAGAGCCAAGGGGTCAAAATTAAAATTTTCAAAAAGTACATAATGAGTCACATAATAAGACTGGAATCAGGGGACACGTCATCAATAGCGATTGTGACCACCCTGGGCAGCCACGTCGTCATGATGACGTCAGCAGGAATCCTGTCCCAAAAGTCCAAGAGAGTATGTTTGAGCTCCTGTCGGTCCCGCTGGAGAAGGAACACGCTGTCTCAACTAACGATCAAGATGATCCCAGAGATGTTCAATGGGGTTCATGTCTGGAGAATGCTGTGGCCAAGGCAATACGTTGACGTCAACGTGGTGCGGGTATTCTGGAACAGTTCTATCGTGAGAGGCCTTGCGTTGTAGAGCTGCAAAATTACTCTTCTTGGCTGTTGTAGAATAAAAATGAAACATACAACTTTATGGATGACAATTTCTTGTTTATTTGCGTTAAGCAACGTTTCGATGTAGGTTCTTACATCGTTATCAAGCTAAAAGTGACTACAACGAAATGGTGAGAAGCATATATACATGGTGTGTTGTGACAAACAGCAGATTAACATTAACAACAGCATGTAATAGAATAACAAGTGGTACATAATTGGAAGAGGCCAGTAGGGAACTAAAAACAACAAATAACACCAGAGATGAAGTCAGTAAACATGGGGGATTAAGAAGTAACAACAAATAGACAGGGTACTTTGATAGTCTATAGTTTGACTAATTCTTCATAGGCCGATGGTATATATGCAATAAACAAGAAGGTGTCATCCATAAAGTTGTATGCTTCATTTTTGACTCACCAACTTCTAGAATGCCGTTCAAAAAGTAATGTTGTTGAATAAAGGGCACCACAAGATGTCTCAACACTTCATCCCTGTATCGCTGGCCATTCAGATTTCCTCGGATGATAACCAGTCGTCTTGTTGTCTGGCGACAAATGCCGCCCCACACCTTGACACCTCTTCCATCGAACGGTTGAACTTCTTGAACGCAGTTTGGCGCCAGTCGCTCTCCTCTACGTCGAAACATTCGAACTATGCCGACTGAACCGACTTCCACCCGTAAAGAGCACTCTCTCCCAGTCCATCGCTGCCACCGACGTACAGTTCGTACCCATTGCAGTCTGCGTTGACCGTGTAGACGGGCCAAGGCCATTCCAGAGAAGGGGCGGAAGGCTCGTATACCAGCCATACCAAGTCGTCCCCAAAGGACTGTCTCGCCGCGAATAGCTGCAACGTCGCTGATGCGGCGTTAAGTAATATTCACTCACTCACTCGAAGGGCTGTTCGTCTGCTGGTGGCGTGTCCTAGTGCTGTCGCCTCCGTTGACGTCGCCATCACGAATCTGTTCCAGAGGTGGATCTGCCAGATGTAGCTGTCTTCGGCCGGTGTTGTGATACTTGGTCTCGATCTTGGGTTGTCTTGGGCCTGGCCTGTTTGCTGGTAGCAGTTTATCAATTTGCTGACGCTGGCCTGGCTGCAGTTGAAGGTTCTTGCCAGTTGACGTTGTGAAGCCCTCATATTGACCATCTCGACCGCCCTGTCTCGATGCGCTTGCCTAAGTCTTGGCATATTCGTGGTGTGTTTTTTGTTGCTGCATGCTTGCTTTGTCATTTAGGCCAATGTCCCACGATTACGCTTTTCACATAATTAAAAAATGCACGATTCGTACGAACTTGTCGGACAGCTGCGTTGTTATCGGGACCATGTTGCGTTTTGGCGAATGTTTTCTGCTTGGGCTGGAAACTGCACCAGCCTTTTTGGTTTTCTATAAATTATTTAAAAGGCGATAGCTTTCTTTTGCCCGGTAGTTTGCATATCACATTAACACGGACGTCTCGATGACAGGTATATCTATATATTGATATCATCTGCTAACAATGCTGACATGTTAAGCCCTATATTGATATCATCTGCTAACAATCCTGACCTGTTAAGCCCTATCTGCTTACCTTATGTGTACCATTACATCACGTGTACCGTTATGTCCCAACCGTTATCCCTCGTGAGTACTGTTATATCCTAGTATCAATACCGTGATTTCCTATTTCTCAGTACATGGGTCTTATTGTACTTTACATACTGACCTTTGGAGTAATAGTATGGAGTATGACACAACACAGAGACCTAATGGATATCGTTAAAGTTATCGTTATACACTGACCCCATATGTACCGTTGTCGTTACACATTGACCTCTTGCATACCGTTGTCGTTTCACACTGACCTCTTGTATACCGTTGTCGTTACACACTGACCTCTTGTGTACCGTTGCCGTTACACACTGGCCTCTTGTGTACCGTTGTCGTTACACACTGACCTCTTGTATACCGTTGTCGTTACACACTGACCTCATGTGTATCGTTGCCGTTTCACACTGACCTCATGTGTACCGTTGTCGTTTCACACTGACCTCTTGTGTACCGTTGTCATTACACACTAGCACCTTGTGGACCGTTGTCGTTTCACACTGACATCTAGTGTACCGTTGTCATTTCACAATGACCTCAAGTGTACCGTTGTCGTTTCACACTGACCACATGTGTACCGTTGTCGTTACACACTGGCCTCTTGTGTACCGTTGTCGTTACACACTGGCCTCTTGTGTACCATTGTCATTACAGACTGACACTTTGTGTACCGTTATTGTGACACACTGGCCTCTTGTGTACCGTTTTCGTTACACACTGGCCTCTTGTGTACCGTTGTCGTTACACACTGACCTCTTGTGTACCTTTGTCGTTACACACTGACCTCTTGTGTACCGTTGTCGTTACACACTGACCTCTTGTATACCGTTGTCGTTACACACTGACCTCTTGTGTACCGTTGTCGTTTCACACTGACCTCTTGTGTACCGTTGTCGTTACACACTGACCTCTTGTGTACCGTTGTCGTTACACACTGATCTCTTGTGTACCCTTTGTCGTTTCACATACTGACCTCTTGTATCGTTGTCGTTACACACTGACCTCTTGTGTACCGTTGTCGTTACACACTGACCTCTTGTGTACCGTTGTCGTTACACACTGATCGCTTGTCTACCGTTGTCGATACACACTGACCTCTTGGGTACAGTTGTCGTTACACACTGACACCTTGTGTACCGTTGTCGTTACACACTGGCCTCTTGTGTACCGTTGTCGTTCCACACTGACCTCAAGTGTACTGTTGTCGTTACACACTGACCTCTTGTGTACCGTTGTCGTTTCACACTGACCTCTTGTGTACCGTTGTCATTACACACTGGCCTCTTGTGTACCGTTGTTGTTACACACTGACCTCTTGTGTACCGTTGTCGTTACACACTGACCTCTAGTGTACCGTTGTCGCTTCACACTGACCTCATGTGTACCGTTGTCATTACACACTGACACCTTGTGTACCGTTGTCGTTTCACACTGACCTCTTGTATACCGTTGTCGTTACACACTGACCTCATGTGTACTTGTGTCGTTACACACTGACCTCCTTATTGTGTACTGTTGTCGTTACACACTGGCCTCTTGTGTACCGTAGTCGTTACTCACTGACCTCTTGTGTATCGTTGTCGTTACACACTGACCTCTTGGGTACAGTTGTCGTTACACACTGACCTCTTGTGTATCGTTGTTGTTACACACTGACCTCTTGTGTACCGTTGTCGTTACACACTGACCTCTTGTGTATCGTTGTCGTTACACACTGACCTCTTGTGTACCGTTGTCGTTACACACTGACCTGTCTACCGTTGCCGTTACATACTGGCCTCTTGTGTACCGTTGTCTTTTCACACTGACCTCATGTGTACCGGTGTCGTTACACACTGACCTCCTGTCTACCGTTGTCGTTACACTCTGACTTCTTCAATACTGTTACTCTCTCTTTACAGAACCCATCAGTAACGTCACTCCTACTATGCCGACGAAGTGAGTACCGTTAACACTATACAATAACCTCATTTTTGCTGTTTGCTTATATATCAACCTCATGACTGCAGTTATCGTCTATTTACTGACCTTATGGGTACCGTTATCGCATATGTACTGACCTCGTGAGTACCGTTATCCCTTATATCCGGTACTCCCAGCTGGGCAGGGTCAACCCCTTGTGTTCTGGCGTCCAGGATCTCCTTCTGGAACATCCGGTAGTAGTGAGAATCTCCGCTGAAGGTGAAGGTCAACTCTGGCACCAGCATCCCTCCCAGAACCTGAGTGTAGAACTGCGTTGACGCCGTCATGTTGTCCGTCGTCACGGAGATGTAGGCGATGCCATGGAGGGAATTTTGGTTGCTGGACAGAGCAAGTTGCATGTAAGCAACGACCAGCAGCACTATTGGTGTTGACAGCAGCATTATTCTAGTTGATGTGAGGCAGATGATTGACATTCACTTATATATGTTGGCCTGGTGACGAAAAACGGAACGATTGTTGAATCGTCATGAAGACTGTGAGAAAGTAGCATATTTTAGGCGATAAGATGGTGGATTGTAACACACGAGATGTAGACAAATGCTATATTACGGCTTGTTATGAAAAAATGTGGGAATCTGCCATGTTTAAGCTGATAAAGGTAGAAGCAGAAAGTGTAATACAACGTGTCAATGACTTTACGTTTTCATCTTGAAATTTAGTAAGAGTACAAAATTAATACTTATGACAATATAAGTATGTGGTAGGACAAAGGGTTTGATTGATACTATAAAGTTCATTTTGTGAATAATTTCTTTCATATGTCCTACCACACTCGTCCGTTATAACCAGAAAAATACCACATCAAAGAAATTTTTAACATCTATAAAATATATGAACAGATTGGATGCTCTTTGGCAAAGGATGTATAGCACAGGTGTAACAGTTTGCGTGTATTCAGTTTACTATATCCATACTCATAGAACCATCCCATGAAGACCCGGATTAGAATTGGTCTTCAGTAACCCATGCTTGTCGTAAGAAGCGACTAACGGGATCTGGTGGTCAGGCTCGATGACTTGGTTGACACATGCCATCGTATCCTAATTGCCTAGATCGTTGCTCATGCTGTAGATCACTGGATTGTCTGGCCCAGACTGGATTATTTACAGACCGCCGCCATATAGCTGGAATATTGCTGAGTGCGGCGTTAAACAAACACACACACCTACACAACCACTGCACAATCATGCAGCATACGTCTGCACGAAACATCAATCAGGTGCCAAGCACATCATCAAATTCAAGTCTTCTCCAGTGAAACAACCAGATACAAATCTATGTAAAAGCAGTTAAGCAGTGGCTAACTGGTAAGAGCATGCTGTTACGTGTTGATTTCTAGTTGAAACTGGTACGGTCACTAAGATAACTTGGTGTGAAACCAATAAACTACAAAGAGATGGGATGTAATTAACAACTGTATTCAAAAATGAACTATATTAATATAAATCACTGCAAAGGTATTACAGTAGTAGTACAAAACAGAGTGTCAGTACAAATAGCAGTATAATACCAAGGCGTGATTATAGCGATACAGACGATGATGGTAGTATGTCACTACAGCAATGGTCACGTTTCCAAAATAAGTTGATAGGCAATTTGCCTAGGCAAGGAATTGTGAAAGAGTGCTACAACTTACTTGGTGAAGGATGGAACTTTGTCTGACAATGATCAGAGAATAAAGATGACAGAAATTGCATAGAAAATAGGTCAGCTATACCTAGTGCATGTTTAGTGAATTAAAATAGGTCAGCCATACCTAGTGCATGTTTAGTGAATTAAAATAGGTCAGCCATACCTAGTGCATGTTTAGTGAGTTTTCTTTCCGTCCCTCATATTACCAGCAGTATAACAAATGTGTGTATAAGGTAGAGAAAGCACAGTATGATCATGCCAATATGAATGCTTTAAGAATACCAACGGGATGACATCTACACCTATCTTAAATTACACTTGTTATATTTCCTGAGATCTCCAAAGCCACAGTTTGTCCAGCCACGTCAACAACACGTGAACTTGTATTGTACCAAAGTCAGAGGAATGTGCAGAAATCTACTGTCTTCTATCAATAATTCAAGTGTATCAGTGCATCACCTATGATCATGGTCACCACATAATAATGATATGTGTATTTATACCTCGCTGGATTCCATACAAAACTGTATGCTCAAAGCGCTACATATAAAGGTGATTGGAGTGCTACAACACATAAAACATTTGTACATAAAAAGGTTGAAACTTTTCAGGATATGTTTCTTAAACACTGTCATATTTTCTGAAGAGGAATATTTTCAAGTCACATTTGACTGACTGACTTTTAGCAATATTCCAGCAATATCACGGCGGGGGAAAGTCACATTTGAAGGAGTCAAGGGATGTTGATAGTCTGAGTTCGAGTGGCAGCTTGTTCCAGGGTGTTGGAGAGATATGTTCTCTTTTGGACAATTGACAATGCGAGCTGCTCTACTCTTTGTAGTTTTAAGATGAGTGTTTCTGACAATCCGTAGTAGGCATTGTTGCAATAATCCAACTTCGATAGCACTAGGGATCTAACAAATACACAAGCAGCTGGCATTGTTAGGATTTTTAGGATACTTACAACTGGACAAGCTATAAGATGTTTCACCGGACCTGTTAAACGTTCATTCATGGTAATGTGTCCCGACAGATTTTTTGGCCATGAGAGATATGTCAGCTAAAGAAAGATACACTACATTGCATACTATCTTGAAGTCTTGCCACTAAAGAATGACCATATATTTCAAACCATCTTGGAATTACCATACATAATTTGACTAGTTTTTCAAAGCTGCATCAGTTATTAAACTCACTTGGGTTTCACATTGTGTGTAAATGACATAAACAACATTGCACATTTTGCAGTTATGTCTTTGAAGTGTGATACTGTGCTGAAATGTGATTAGCGTCCATAAATGCTTGAAACTTTTACAATGTGATAGCTTCCAAATGATTGTGTTCGTAGACATGATATATCAGTTACTATCTATAACGTAGTATGCCTAAACATTATTATGCTTTTTCTATTCGTAAAACAATGGGGGCGGTGGGGTAGTCTAGTGGTTAAAGCGGGTTCGAATCCCCACATGGGTACAACGTGTGAAGCCCATTTGTGGTGTCCCCCGCCGTGATGTTGCTGGAATATTGCTAAAAGCGGCGTAAAGCCAAACTCAGTCAGTCGTAAAACAATGTAACTTTCACTGCTTTTTTCGCCCTAATCTAAATGTTATCATTACAATGTAAAGATGCTGAAGGTAACAATGCGATGTACAGTTTGAAATAAAGACTTGACTTCATCACAGAAACGTAACAGTGAATCCAAGTGATCCCAAACAACACATATGTACTTTACCACAGTTTTTCAAGATTATGATTGGGAGGTGGTACTCTAGTGGTTACAGCATTTGTAATATGCGAAGCTCATTTCTTGTGTCCACCACTATAATAATGCTGGAATATTACTAAAAGCGGCGTAAAACCCAACTCACTTACCCAGGATCCAGTTCACTGTTAATAATATAGGGTATTTTCTCTTTAGAGCATGTAGTATGTATCCTTATGTATATGTCTCTGTGTGTGCATGTCTGTGTCTTTGAGAAGCATCCACAAATATATACGTGTGTATGGGTGCTCGTCGGCTCATGCACCTGATTGGTGCATCCTTGTCCAATAGTGTATGTTATCAAAACGGACCACACACATACTCACTCCATCACACACTACCACACAACTACACATGCGCACTCTTCTACCCAACATGCACACACACCACACCAAACCACGTACATAATACTACAACACAATCCATAGACACCAGTCTCAACCACCAGGCTCAAGGACACCCAGCCAACGAGGCCCGAGACCACCTAGCCACCAGACTCGAGGACACTCAGTAAACGAGACCCATGAACACGTAACCATGAGACAGAAGGACATCCAGCCAACGATGCCCATGAACACCTACCCACAAGGATCATGAACACCTAACCTCCAGGTTCAAGAACACCCAGCCAACCAGGAAAGGATGTTATGAATAGCTATATATATCACAGATTCTTCATCTGAACAGAGACATGTGTCCTTGGGAAAGAAGGCAAGAATATTTGACTTTGTGCTAAATCTTTTCCTGTAAAGCAGCCGCCGTCTGAGTGTTAACACATTTTCATTGCAACTGCAATCTGTTCGGCAATGTGAGTGACCCCACAATGTCACCAAAGGGATCATAGCGAGAAACTTCAGATGTCCTGAACCAATTACCAGACATAGATCTTCCAGGTATAGAATTTCTGCAACTTAACAAAATAAGTTGGTGATTGTGGCTTTGTTTCATGGCTAATTGACAATGTTCAACACACACTGCTTTTACATGTGCAGAAGCAGTTTCTTGAAGACAAAATGTACTAAGCACCAAATAAATTCATTTGAAAGCACGTGTATTATACAGGATTTGTCAGGGTAACCTGACGCACAAAACAAGAAGCATGTCCAACAGAATACATTTGGTCGAGTACTTGAAAAGACGGAAGTGCTGGGGATCCATTTCTGCTGGATGCATAGAAACAGGTGGCTCGATAGTTTTGTCAGTTCATGCCAGGAAATGGGATTATTCCACCCAAGATTGTTGGGTATACAAACCAGCCCGAGGTTATACCTCACCAAGTGACAATGTTAAAATACAAACACGTCATTGCATCTAATTGATCAACTTTATTTCTGAATGAAAGTTTAGCCAACAACGGGTTTGCTAGAATATTTAGAACAATACGCGTCGTATTCTTTTTTCAACCACGGATTCGTCTCCTTGAAGGCTGTGTTGACTGCCGAATACTTTAACAGGGCTGACTTCAGTTTGGCTTCCGCTGGACCCTTGAACTGAACAAAGGATTGCTGTTCCCCTGCTGGGCCCTTAGCATACACGTAGTTGAAACCTTTCAGAGGTCCATCAGTGAACTCTTCACTGTACTGTGCTGCAGGAACGCTAGCTCCTAATGTCTGCACATCAACTGCTCTATTGATCTTAAACTCCGTGAACTTATTCCTGGCAGCCTTTTGCTCTGCGTTCTGTAGGAATTTGTTTAGATCAACGTTGGAGTCAACGAAGAAGGCGACGTGCATGTTGTTGATGTAGGCGGGACTGCTCCAGTTGTATCTGGGATTGAACTTGGGATCTGACAAAGATTTTCCAGCAGTATACTCGACATTCTTCACTACGTGATTATCAAACAGGTTAAACCTAAGATCACTTCTGCCAGATCCTGCCAGAGAAATGTTTGGAACCCCTATTTGTCCAATGTCAACTCCCCAAGATTCGGCATCAAGGATCTCTTTCTGGAACAACATGTTTTCAACATCATCTCCTTGAAGACCGACTCCCACCAGAGGTTTACGAACCAGGTCTGTACCAAGGACCTGTGTGTAGAAGTCGACGGACTTTTGAAGATCATCTGTTCTTACAGCAAACTCGAATATCCCATAAGTCTGACCACTGACTCCGGCAGCTTTTTTCCATCGATTGTCAGGGTGATTGTTCAAGAGGGCTGTCGCCACCCCTTGGCGTTGGCAGTATTCACTGCCAAGATAATACTTGTATGTTTTTGTAATTCGGTTCAGTTCCAGTCGCTCTCCCCTAGGACCTTTAAAAAATGCCATTGATAAACCGTCAAAGGGTCCACTGTCGAAAGTAATGCCAAGTTGTTTCTCAGGTACGGCTAGTCGTTCAGCCTCATTGTGAACTGTGACTGGTCTGTTGACCTTAACCTGATCAAAACCCAAATTACGTGATCTTCTTTCCAGTTCAGCGATGTAGTGGTTGAAATCCACGTCGTCCTTGACCCAGAAGCATGCCATTGCGGCTCCAATGTAGGCGGAGCTGGTGCGACGGTCACGCATGTCGAACACAGACGACGTTGATTTTTCAACATACTCTACCAGCTGGATAATGCTGTTATCAAAGATGATGAAGTTCCCCCGCACCTTCAAATACAAATACATATACATTTACACCGAGTCACTGATACAATATCTTTATATTTTAATGTGTATAGATATTATTTCAATTTAAAATATCATAATCTCCCAACACACCGAGGGAACGTTCTTAACTGGTAAGACGTTTTGATGACACGACATCATCTCCTGTTTATATTTAATATTAAAAGTGTTTTTGCTTAAGACTACAGCGACATGTACGTAAAAGGTCATCGAATAGTTATTCGGCAAATATCTATGCATGTATTTATGGTATAAAAAACAGTTATTTCTGATTTGTACACAACTAATCGAAAAATCAGATTAGTGCAAGTTATTGGCACAATTTAACAAAAGAATATCTTTGAGATATTTAAGAGTTTTTGTCAGGATAATGTCTTTAGACATGAACAGATATTTATGAACTGGTAAACACTTGAAATACAACATAAAGACGAGTGCTGGTGTTTCTGGAAGTGGACAAAAACACGAAAACACGTCTTCCCTCATTGAAATTACCAGAACAAACTGTTCTTCAAAATGAAAATACATGGGCATCAAGCGGACACCGGCGATTTAAGACAATGCCACGAGTTTACAGGAATGAGAGCATGCTCATGAGCTGCCCGAGGGAGGGACTCCACAGTCCATTCAGCAAACAGGAAGTACAACGCATCCCCGCCATCAGAACAACCTCCCCTTGCAACAGCTTGACAGATTCAACTGGCACACCTCCAACATCGATTGAAATGGGAAAAGTAAAAGCAGTATCCACAGCCGTAGACATGGGAGACAAAGTCACCCCATTTACAGTCATTTGACGGTTGAGACATCATTACCGAGTCGAGCAATCCTGTAGAGCCTGAAATCAACTGCTCAATTTACTGACCTTATGAATACCTCCATTGTCAATGTACTGACCTCATGGATACCTCCATTGCCAATGTACTGACCTCATGAATACCTCCATTGTCAATGTACTGACCTCATGAATACCTCCATTGTCAATGTACTGACCTCATGAATACCTCCATTGTCAATGTACTGACCTCATGAATACCTCCATTGTGTACAATGTACTGACCTCATGAATACTGACTCCATTGTCAATGTACTGACCTCATGAATACCTCCATTGTCAATGTACTGATCTCATGAATACCTCCATTGTCAATGTACTGACCTCATTAATACCTCCATTGCCAATGTACTGACCTCATGAATACCTCCATTGTCAATGTACTCACCTTATGAATACCTCCATTCTCAATGTACTGACCTTATGAATACCTCCATTGTCAATGTACTGACCTCATGAATACCTCCATTGTCAATGTACTGACCTCATGAATACCTCCATTGCCAATGTACTGACCTTATGAATACCTCCATTGTCAATGTACTGACCTCATGAATACCTCCATTGTCAATGTACTGACCTTATGAATACCTCCATTCTCAATGTACTGACCTTATGAATACCTCCATTGTCAATGTACTGACCTTATGAATACCTCCTTTGTCAATGTACTGACCTCATGAATACCTCCATTGCCAATGTACTGACCTTATGAATACCTCCATTGTCAATGTACTCACCTTATGAATACCTCCATTGTCAATGTACTGACCTCATGAATACCTCCATTGTCAATGTACTGACCTTATGAATACCTCCATTGTCAATGTACTGACCTCATGAATACCTCCATTGCCAATGTACTGACCTTATGAATACCTCCATTGTCAATGTACTCACCTTATGAATACCTCCATTCTCAATGTACTGACCTTATGAATACCTCCATTGCCAATGTACTGACCTTATGAATACCTCCATTGTCAATGTACTGACCTCATGAATACCTCCATTGCCAATGTACTGACCTTATGAATACCTCCATTGTCAATGTACTGACCTCATGAATACCTCCATTGCCAATGTACTGACCTCATGAATACCTCCATTGTCAATGTACTGACCTCATGAATACCTCCATTGCCAATGTACTGACCTCTTAAATACCTCCATTGCCAATGTACCGACCTCATGAATACCTCCTCGTCACGATATGGCTGAAATATTGCCGATGTGACGTTAAATATTAACTCACTCACTCACTCATGAATACCTCCATTGCCAATGTACTGACCTCATGAATACCTCCATTGCCAATGTACTGACCTCATGAATACCTCCATTGCCAATGTACTGACCTCATGAATACCTCCATTGCCAATGTACTGACCTCATGAATACCTCCATTGCCAATGTACTGACCTCATAAGTACCCTTATCCCTTATATCCGGTACTCCCAGCTGGGCAGGGTCAACCCCTTGTGTTCTGGCGTCCAGAATCTCCTTCTGGAACATCCGGTAGTAGTGAGAATCTCCGCTGAAGGTGAAGGCCAAATCTGGCACCAGCATCCCTCCCATAACCTGGGTGTAGAACTGCGTAGACGCCGTCATGTTGTCTGTCGTCACGGAGATGTAGGCGATGCCATGGAGGGAGTTTTGGTTGCTGGACAGCGCAAGTTGCATGTAAGCAAGGACCAGAAGCAATGTTGGTGTTGACAGCAGCATTGTTCTGGTTGATTTGAAGAAGATGATTGACATTTATTTATATATGTTAGCCTGATGACGAAATGTGAAAAGAAATCTGTTGACTCATTCATAGCTGTGAGAGTGTGTCATGTTTAAGGAGATAAGATAGCACAACAGGCTGTAACTCTGGGGATGGTGAAGACAATGACAATTATGCAATGCTCAAGCGCGTTAGTAAGAACTTTGAGAATGTGCCATATTTCAGGCGATAAGAATCTGTAACAGAGTTTCGGTGGCTATACTATTTAATATTAAATTTATAAGATATTATTTATACCAAATTCAAACGTTTGTCAACTGACATAGGTTGTAGGAAAAAGTAAATTTTGAATGACCGTATAAATGACAAAACCATTTCCATATTCCTCATCCGTAAGAAATATCTGCCAAGAGTGAGTGAGGAGTTTAGTTTTACGCCCATTTTGGGCAATATTCCAGTAATATCACAGCGGGGGACACCAGAAATGGCCTTCACGCATTGTACCCAAATGGTAAATCGAACCGGCGTGACGAGCGAACGCTTTAACCACTAGGCTATTCCACCGCCCCTATCTCCCAAGAGCAGAGTCTTTGTACGATTCCGACTATACCATGAGGATGTGTTTGTGAGTCTCTATCAAATATTGACGACACTCGGTGTTAGCGAAAATCTGAGCTCATGCTTTACGAAAACCAATATCATCAGGAAATCAATTCAGATATAGAAATGCTGGATTACAGAATACACTGCTATACGAAAATGTGTTTCTGGTGAAATATTCGTATATACAACTTTTGCATTTATCTGTGCACACATATAAAACAGAACAGAAGTTTGTTGTATTTCAGAGCCAGGAGGCCACAACACTGTTTTCATATTTTATACGTATATATATAACTAAGCTCCAATGTAAATACTTTATGCACAAATACAGTTAAACGGAATATAGTATTAATTTTTGTCTTTGTTAACAGATTGATAAGTGCTTGTTAGGCACATATTCAAATACTGCTTTTGAATATCAGCATAACGTGGGCATAAAAAACAACACATAATAGTCATCCTTCTGCATAACATAGACATAGCTGGTCTAACGGATTATAATTTTCTACGTGTTTTTACATTCCTTAATTATAAAGTTGTTTGAACAGCATCTCAACTTGGTTAAAGCTCTTCTTATCCGGACAAATCTAATATATTCAGTATTCAACAATGATTTGAATGAACACTATGCGGACAAAGATAAGATCATGATGCTGTCTTAAATGAATGCATCTAACAACCGTTGGTTAGATGATAGTTAGACAAAACCAAAACCATGGGGTAAGAATAAGAGATGAATACTCTCACAACCGCAGATGAATGCATCTCTCACTGCAACAACATCGTCGTTTTAGATGATAGTTAGACCAAAACCAAAACCATGGCATCTAACAAACCGGATGATAACCAAACCATGGGGAAATAAGAATACTCTCAGATGAATGCACTGCAGATGAATGATAGTTAGACAACCAAAACCGCCTCACTGCAGATGATAGTTGATAGTTAGACACAAAAATAAGAATACCAAAACCATGGGGAATAACCAAAACCATGGGGAAATAAGAATACTCTCACTGCAGATGAATGCATCTAACAACCGTCGTTTAGATGATAGTTAGACAGAACCAAAACCATGGGGAAATAAGAATACTCTCACTGCAGATGAATGCATCTAACAACCGTTGTTTAGATGATAGTTAGACAAAACCAAAACCATGGGGAAATAAGAATACTCTCACTGCAGATGAATGCATCTAACAACCGTCGTTTAGATGATAGTTAGACAATAAGAATACTCCCACTGCAGATGAATGCATCTAACAACCGTCACTGCCATGAAATAAGAATACTCTCAATGCATCTAACAACCGTTGTTTAGATGATAGTTAGACAAAACCAAAACCATGGGGAAATAAGAATACTCTCACTGCAGATGAATGCATCTAACAACCGTCGTTTAGATGATAGTTAGACAAAACCAAAACCATGGGGAAATAAGAATACTCTCACTGCAGATGAATGCATCTAACAACCGTTGTTTAGATGATAGTTAGACAAAACCAAAACCATGGGGAAATAAGAATACTCCCACTGCAGATGAATGCATCTAACAACCGTTGTTTAGATGATAGTTAGACAAAACCAAAACCATGGGGAAATAAGAATACTCTCACTGCAGATGAATGCATCTAACAACCGCCGTTTAGATGATAGTTAGACAAAACCAAAACCATGGGGAAATAAGAATACTCTCACTGCAGATGCCCAATTTACGTACTCAAGGTCATCATGTAAGTTCAGAAGACAACAACAATGTTTAACATATCTGTTGCAATTCATATTTTTTATTTTAACCCAAAAGTCAATTACTCTCAGTTGCTAATGTATAAATATATAATGACGTCTACATTATCCTAGTGTTGCTAATGTATAAATATATAATGACGTCTACATTATCCTAGTGCTGCTAATGTATAAATATAGAATGACGTCTACATTATCCTAGTGCTGCTGAGTTGCTACTCGTAATACGTATTTACAGAATTTCAATATCTTTACTTTCTTTCATGGCCCATACTTCTTTGTCCTACATTAGTATGGGGTGAATATTTCAATCCAAAATATCAAAACAAGTGTTAACATCCAAATTTTCATATCTATGAATTATTTCTTTTTCTGGCACAGGATTTTCAGCCCTTTTAGCCAGGGTTTCACAAGCAACTGAAAATATGAAATGTTGGTATTTGTAATTGGAGACGACTTTTATTGGTTTACTTGATAGGACTCACTCTTCGTTTTAAAATCATTAGCGTCTTCTTTTGAAAATAATAGTTTTTGTCTTTTCTGAATGTATATAGAGGATATTACATGAGTGCCCATGTTCTACTATGTTTACGACACGAGTGCCTGAATGTTGGTATTTCCCGAGCGAGAGCGAGGGGTATACCGATATTTAGGCACGAGTGTCGTAAACATAGTATGATATGGGCACGAATATAATATTCTGTTTATTACCGAAGTGGTCAAATTGTGGAAAATAAACCCAAATCTACTTTCAAACATAGACTGGCTACCCGCCGTCGCCGCATGTAGAACGCAACGTCACAGAAGAAACGTGATGTCATAGCAGTGTTCATGACGTCACGTCACAATGACAAAGTGTATTTTGACCTAGGGCATCGTATGAAAAATATGAACCCCGATATGTTCGCCCTCGAAGGTAATAATATTAATTATACAACGCCAGTGCCATAGAATACCAAGTTTTGACTGTCCTTAGTTATGTTTACAAATTTGTTTGTTTGTTGTTTAACGCCGCACCCAGCAATATTCCAACCATATGGCGAGGGTCATGAGCATCGATCAACGCAATTGGTATACGATGACATGTGTCAACCAAGTCAGCGAGCCTGACCACCCGATCCCGTTGGTTTATGCCCACTGTGGCACTTCTTTCGGCAAAATAATTGATCTGGGTCAAGATTCCCTGAGTGGTCCTTATGTCTCTTATGTTAGTCTCCTCTTATGACAAGCATTGGTTTGCTGAAGACCAATTCTAAGCCGGATCTTCACGGGTCATCTTTACAAGTAACGAAAACGCTTTGGAAACATTTGTTTTTTACAACATAGTGGAAGCTTGCTTTGATGTCTCGAACCAAATAGTTCTTCGGTAGTTCACACAGCATAGATAACCCCACGACTTGTAATATTCCTCTGATACAATTCGTTGAAGATTAACAACTGTATCACTAAACACTATGACATTATCAGCAAATAGTAAAAGGGCAATTTCTTCAATAGGGAAAAAAATACTTTGTGATAATGTTTAACAATATCTGAAGCTAATTCTTCAATTAGCTAATTCAAGCTACATGACTAATAAATTTCGTGACATGCATGCGTCCTTGTTTAACATTTCTAGAGGTAGAGAACACATTCGTACTTATGTATGGTGTATATCTACCGCATGGTTTGACATAAATGTACATGTTTTCAAGTTGAAACCAAACGTTAACCGAGAGTCTGCTTTTACAGGGGAGTGGGGTAGCCTAGTGGTTAAAGCGTTCAGTCGTCACGCCAAAGACCCGGGTTAGATTCTCCACATGGGTACAATGTGCGAAGTCCACTTCTGGTGTCCCTCGCCTTGATATTGATGAAATATTGCTAAAAGCGGCGTAAAACAATACTCGCTCACTCCTTAAAAGAACTCTGAGTGAAACGAACAAACAAAAAAGCAATGTCATATAATTCACAGTTGTATTCTAACATTAACTTAGTTTGCAAATTTATAGCAATAACTAAAAGGCATTACAGTGTCAGTACCAGTTCAGTAATATAAAAGCAGTGATTATAACAAAAGACAGATATGTTAATATTCATCTCCCTCCATCAATGGTCAAGTTGTCTGAGTTTCCAGGGTAAAATGATCTCCAGACATTTGCTGGTTAAAAGTTTGGATGTAATGTGAGATGCGAGGCAAGAGTCAGCTCCCCTTACGTATATGAGTAAAAGGACTTCAGAAGATTCTTTAATCCCTTGACTGACTGACTGACTGAGTTTGGTTTTACGCCGCTTTTAGCAATATTCCAGCAACATCACGGCGGGGGACACCAGAAATGGGCTTCACACATTGTACCCATGTGGGGATTCGAACCCGAGTCTTCGGCGTTACGAGCCAACGTTTTAACCATTAGGCTACCCCACCGCCCCTAATCCCTTGAATATAGTGGAAATACCGATAGGGTTTGCCAGATTTTAGACTGGCACTGACTATGGAACTAAACATTTTGCCCGACATATTAAAACAGGTTAAACCCTCTGTAATTATGTGGATTGTCCTTGCTTCCCTGTTTAAATAGTATTATAATAACCCCTTCATTCCATGCATTTGTGCATTAACCTGTTTAAGTATGTCATATTTTATGGTGGTAAAATATCAACTAAAATATATATT